TTTAAAGATTTATTTATTTTACTTATGAGTACACTGTAGCTGTCTTCAGACACACCAGGAGAGGGCATCAAATCTCATTACGGATGGTTGTGAGCCACCATGTGGTTGCTGGGATTTGAACTCAGGACCTCTGGAAGAGCAGTCAGTGCTCTTAACCACTGAGCCATCTCTCCAGCCCTGTAGAGTGATTCTTAATGTATAGCCTCCAACAAGAATTAACATAACCGTTCCTCAAGGTGAGTGGATAAGCAAGCTGTCATAGTCATACAACGAAAGAAAAAAGGCCGGGCAGTGGTGGCACACACCTTTAATCCCAGCACTTGGGAGGCAGAGGCAGGCGAATTTCTAAGTTCGAGGCCAGCCTGGTCTACAGAGTGAGTTCCAGGAGAGCCAGGGCTGTTACACAGAGAAACCCTGTCTTGAAAAACAAAACAAAACAAAACAAAACAAAAACAAAACAGAGAGAGAGAGAGAGAGAGAAAGAGAGAAAGAGAGAAAGAGAGAGAGAAAGAGAGAAAGAGAGAAAGAGAGAGAGAAAGAAAGAAAGAAAGAAAGAAAGAAAGAAAGAAAGGAAGAAAGAAAGAAAGAAAGACAGACCTCAAGAACTCCTGGACTCAAGTGATTCTCCTGTCTCAGCCTCCTAAGAAGCTGGCACTTCGGATACACACACTCCAATACTCAGTGAGGCCCACTTAAGAATCTGTTTTATAGGCTCTAATTTATATGGATTCCAAAGAAAAGAAACTTTAAAATATTTTGAAAGCTGTTATTCTCAGGTGTAGAAACTGAGGCCTTAAGGGTAGAAGGAGCTTGCAAGGGTCACAGAGGTTGTGAGTGACAGAAGGGAGAGGAGGCTGGCCTCTGACCTCTGTGTGAATCTCTCTCTTCTGACCCACAGAGTCACATGAGAAGCCAGCGATTCTGCCTCAGATGCTTTTATGCCATTCTTGAGAACGCTTAGCTACAGGCTAGAAAAATCTGGAAACATCACAGTTCTCCTAAGGTCTCCATCTCTTCTCTCCTTTCACACTTCTCCGAGGCAGCTTCGGTGTTGGGCTGAGTGTTGGGCTGTCTTGACACATTACAGAGGCTGTTCCAGGGTTTGGCTGTCAATATCTGCCTGTTGACAGCTGCAGCTGGTATAAATTAAACACAGGGACATTCTGATAATTGGATGACAAGGGAGACAGTGAACAACACTTTTCCCCATTAAGGGGGAAAACCACTTATTAGTAATATTGTCTACTCCATAGTGAAAAAAGGTTAATGCGTGGACAAAAAAGAATTATAGGAAGTTGGAAAAGCACAGTTTTAGAGAGAGTGAACAAAGCCATAACATTGTTGTAAATATAATTACTAGAATCCTAGTGTTATTCACCATTTTTTCTCAGAATAATCATTCAACATTATATTCTGTTCACCACAAAGACGAAGGAAAAATTCGGTGTGGGTCTTAATTAGTGGGGGCACAGAAACCACTTTTCTCCATTAGTTTGTCTGTGTGATGCTAAAAATGGCGCTTTTGGTTGACTTCTGCGCAATCGACTCTCTGACGCTGACACTTAGGGAAATGAAGGTATAAATGTGAATTACAGCAGTGGCTGGATCGGATGCCCAGTCTGAGGTCAGTGGGACCTGAGCAGCGCCTCAGTCGGAGAGGGATACCTGTCACCTCAGAGGTGAGAGGGGGCGGTCCTGGGGGTTGGGCTGGATGGGGACAAGAAAAATTGATGTCTCACCACCTCACAGAAACCAAGTCAAACAGCCCATGTGTCCTGTGTCCACAGGCTGGTGAGGACATGTAGTAACCGTTCATAGTGCTGTGTTCCTTCAGTAGAGTTCCAGTGGCTTTGGGTGGCTTTGGTGGCTTTTGGTGGCTAGTGCCATGTAGGGACCATGGTGAAGGCATGGTATTTGGGCACATGGAGAAGTGGCAGGCACAAGTGTTGCAGGGGTTGGTGAGAGTCAAGGAAGGGCTTGAGGGCTCCTTCCAGGGTGTGGGCAAGCTTCTGGGTTGAGCTGTGAGCTGGGCTGGGTTTTTCCTGTCCATGGCAGGACTCAGCTGTACATTTTTCTGAAAGCAGTCCAGTTGCTGGAGAGATCAATTCGGCTCATCGATCACCCAGAGCCAACTTAGTATAATTGCCTGGAAATTGATAATATTTTGCTTTCTCCCTCAATGGCAGCCGTGTTCCTCGCTCTTATTTTCCGTCACAATTATTGGGTCTTGGAGGCTTCTATTACTCAATGTGTGACCCCTGCTCCCTGCTTGGATAGACCTGAAGCACTTATAATTATCATCATCGTTATTATTGTTTGACACCATAGACTGTTACCATAAACCCCTTCTTTGGCTTATGATTCCTCACTGAAAACTTTAAGATTTTATGTGGGGTGTGGTTCGGTGCTAGCTAGAGCTTTTGGCCAGGATGTGCAAAGCCCTGAAGGCTCATCTCTGGGAACACGAAAATACTCAGCCTCCAGTTTCTTTGCACTTGAAGGGTTTTGTTTGTTTTGTTTCTTTGTTTACAGTTACTTGGTCAAATGGTTTCAGAATTGGACTAGAATTGCATGCTTTGAGATTGTCAGTTGCATAGGAGAACATTCAACAAAAGTAGACAATCCCCTGGAGGTTTTCACAGAGCCTGGCTCATGTGTACCCTTGAGACCCGACCTCTGTTTGCCACAGATGTCACAGATGCCACTCTGGCAAATGGTGTCATCTAATGAGGATTGACACCCCTTCCTCCTAACACTCAACACTTCATCTATGTCCAACCCCAGAATTAGCCCCATCCAAAGCCCCAAAAGCCAGTGCTTCAAGATCTAGAGTATTTTCAGCATCATCAGAGGCAGCTGGGTTTGGGCCACTTTGTCACTCGGAACAGAGTCAACGGCTATTTCACAGTCTCTGTTCCTGTCTTACTGTAGCCAGAGTGACTCTTGTTCCTCCAGTCTGTGTCCACTGGGACTGGCCAACTCCATGCAATAGGCTTGCATAGCTGGGGTTGCTGTAGAGTCTGGACCCATCCCTGGCAGGAAAGGCCATGGGTTGGAGGTGGGGACTTGTCTAGGAGCTCCTATTGAATTCTAGGGGACAGGGCAGGAGGGGAGAAGGCAGAGGAGGTAGAGGAGAGCTTAGGCCAAGAGTAGGGTCTGAGCTTCATGACAGAGGGCTTCTGATTCTGGGAGTAAAGAGACCAGGGCCTTGGAGATGAAACATGAAGAGGTGAGAAGCCAGAGTGTGGAGAAGCAGGAAATGCAGAGACTGTACCAAGGGACCTCCGTTTGTCCCAAGAGCTCCCTGAAGAGTTCCGTGTTTGAAGTCCCACTTCTGGAGAGGCCCAGCCTGCCTGGAGAAGGAGTGTGATGTATGAGGAAGACAGGAAGTGCAGATACCTGGCCCAAGAAACAAGGCCTAAGTCTGATGAAAACGTACCTGAGTGGCCTGGTGTGGAGGGAGGGGCCTGAGACCACAGTGAACAGCTCTCATGGATGCTTCCTGAGGCCCAGGGCACCCCTGATCAGTGGCGGCCAGAATCTGCCGAAGGGGCCTGGTGCTCAGTGAGAAGTGAGCATAGACAACCATTGTGGACTGAGTTAGTGCTGGCCAGGCTTACAGAAATCAGCCTTCAGCAGAATTCGGGAGAAAGAGAAGACATGGGAATGGAGGGCTGCTCTCCCTCTCAGAGACCAGTTTGATCATGCAGAGCAGACATATGCTGAGAAGACTCAGCTCCTCGATGACCAGTGGCTCCAGAACAGGGCAGGCCAGAGCTGACAGGAACATCTTCCTGAACCAAGGCAGCTCTTCCCCTCAGTGCAGAACATGGTGTTAACAGATCCAACTCAGGGTAATTACGAAGTCTGAGAAGACGCTGGCACACTCACGCTCCCACTCGATGCCCCCTCTTCCCTTTCAGCGCTAATCCTCTGGGAATGTAACAGTTCTGCCAGGTGAGGTGGCACATGTCTGTAATTCCAGCTCTCAGGAGGCTGAGGCAGGAGGATTATGAGTTAGAGGTGAGCCTGGGCAACACAGTGAATTCCAGGCAAGCCTCAGCTACATTTCGAGGCACTGTCCCAAACCTCATCTCCAAAATGTAAGCTTCTGGAACAAGAAGAGTCTCCATTTCCTCCAACTCTACACAAGATGAAACATTGAGAATCTGCTCTCTGAGTGAATAAGAGCTAAATGACCACAGTAGAAGTTTCTAGAGAGTTCCTTTCGTGCCAGGCTGTTCACTCGGGTGTTTCTCTGCACCTGGCCTGATAATAATGCTTATTACTTCTATCTTACATCTGGGAAAACTGAGGCCCAGATAGGTTAAGCCACTGTAATGGGGAATTTAGCTAGTAAGATCGGAACTGGGGTTGGAGGTCACATTTACCTGTGAGCATGGTGCCTCTGCCTCCTGCTGTCAGTAGACTAGGGGAAGGTGTGCTCTCCTCTCTCCCTCCTAGCACCCCCCAACCCCCAGGCAGCTTGCTTCTCTCACTCTTGCAGGAGGGGCAGTTTCGAGATGTTAACTGATTTTCAGCTCAGCCCCATGAGGTAGCCAGTGTGGCTTCACTCCTGGTGGGGAAGTCGAGCTGAGGACTGGGAATACCGAACTTGAATCCAGGTGGATGAAGACCAGGGCTTGTCATGGAGTGGTACCCTGGGGGACACTGATTGTATCCTGCTGATCTTTCTGCAGGTCCTACCCAGGAGTGAAGGATGCCGCTCTGGGTGTTCTTTGTGATCCTTACCCTCACCAGTGGCTCCCACTGCTCACCGCCCCCCTTACCTTCCTCCAGGTAAGCAGCAAGGACTTCTGCATAAATGGAGTCACCAGTGCCAGTGCAAACTGTTCATCTCAGGCAGTGACCAGGCATTGAGCTCCAGAGGCCACGATTTGAGCTAGGATTTGAGTCTCTCTGGGAGTAAGGGGAACACGGGACAACAAAGGGGACCTTACTGAGATGTCATGTGGCTCACAGTGTTCTCCTACCTAACCCCATCCTGACCTCTGACCCCTTTGCACAGGATGCAGCGACATGCAGATGCCATCTTCACCAGCAACTACAGGAAACTCCTGAGCCAGATGTACGCCCGCAAAGTGCTCCAGGACATCATGAACAGTCAGCAAGGGTAAGCAGACATGCTAGTAGCTACTTCCCAGTCACCTCTGCATCGGAGTTGGGAAGGGCTGAGGCGAGAGGTGGGGACCAAGCTTTGTTTCTTCCCTGAGACAGCACACATCAGTGGCGCTCAACCTTCCTAGTGCTCTGACCCTTTAATACTGCTCCTCGTGTTGCGGCAATCTCCAACCATAAAATGGATTGCTACCTTACGATTACAGTTTTGTTACTGTTATGAATTATAATGTGAACATCTGACATGCAGCTCTGATCTGCAACCTCAAAGGGGTCAAGACCCACAGGCTGAGAACCACCGGTGTGTACACTTTCTGAATTTTGCACAGGAAAAGTAGCCCAGGTCATACCTCCACTTAGACCTACTGTGTGCCTCTCTCTGTTTTTGGCTCCAGCAGTGACGATGCTGAATGTCATTGTTCCAATTTGATCTGGATATCAGGCCAGAAACAAAGACTAGGCCTGGGGACATGTGTACACATGGGGACTGCACTGTGGACACAGGAAGCCTGTGCCAGGGCAGCCACCATAAGTCTCTTCTCAGATCTTTGAGACCAGCTGTCATTACCCCATTGGACAGACCCATGTGTCATCTCCAAAGGATGCCCAAAGAGTGGCCAAGCGAAGATCTAAACAACCTGGCTTTGAAAAGTACAAGAATGCCATAGCGATAGAGTTAGCATGTGCTGCCTTTGCAGAGGACCTGGGTTCAATCCCAGCACCCACATGGAAGCTGACACCTTTCTACAACTCCAGTCTCAGGGGCTCTGATGCCCTCTTCTGGCCTCCACAGGCACCAGGCATACATGTAGGCAAAAACACCTATACACATAAAAATAAAGAAACAGACTTTAAAGCTACAGTAGTACTTTCAGAGTGAACAGCTCCTACCATTTGCTCATTCCCTCCCCAGATGAGCAGCACACAGGGGCACACCCAGACACGTGTACGTTTGTCATGATGATGGTCTCTTTTCTGCTGAGCCATTTTTAAATTCCTCATTTTTTCTGAGGTAGGGTCTTGTCTAGCTCAGGCTGGCCTTGACCTCAACATGTACCTGAGGATGTCTCTTCTGAGTCTCCTGCTTCTACCTCCTGAATGCTGGGATTTCCAGCCTGTGCCTTGCTCAGTGACCTTTTACCCAGTGGCACTTGTGTCTCCTAACATCTAACACCACCCTCTTCTGTGCTCAGTGACACTGTCACTCACGATGCTTATTTAAATCTCACAGTTGTCTCGACAGGTTCCTAATACTTATTTCTTTTCTGACCCAGGACCCCAGTGTAGGCTCACAGACTCTGTCACCATCCTATCTGTTTTCCACTGTTAGACTGATTTTATGCCCATGACTGTTATGCTCGAACGCATGTCTGCTTACCACATGCATGCCAGGTGCCCTCCAAGGTCAAAAGAGGGCATCAGGTGCCCTCCAAGGTCAAAAGAGGGCGTCAGATGCCCTGAAACTGATTCAGTAACCTCATAATTAGTACCTGCTGCGGCCTTCCCAGTGTGGGTATCAGAAGCTGCCACCCAAGTTCATCCACTTACTGGTGGATAATAAATTTGATCACTTGTTTTAATGCTCCATCTACAAGGTTAGTGATCTGTGGGGAGGGTTTTGCAGTGGTACAGACATGCAGGCTGTACTTTTCACTCCCGTGCCCACTGCTCCCCAGATATTACTGAACGTAAGAATCCACTCAGACTGACTGGACATCCTACCCAATGGTGATCCTCTCTGTTTTTTCTTTCCAAACTCATAGGGAGAGGAACCAGGAACAAAGAACCAGGTTCAGCCGCCAGGTGGACAGCGTGTGGGCAGAGGACAAGCAGTTGACCCTGGAGAGCATCTTGGTAACCCTTCTGCAAAAAAACACAAATTGGGGGGGGGGGTACAGTTGGAGGAGGAAGGGCACAGGTTGGAGATGCTTTGGTTGAGACAGGATTTCTCTGGGTAGCCTTGGCTGTCCTGGAACTCACTTTGTAGACCAGGCTGACCTTGAACTCAGAGATCTGCCTGCCTGCTTCTCTCCCAAGTGCTAGGATTAAAGGTATGGCTGCTGGCACCCACCTGAGGGAGATTTTTCTAGGGACTTTAGAGACTTCCTTCTGGGTCCCAAGAAAAGCAAAGAATCTCATTTTCCCCACAAGTGTGGGGCCTAGTCTTCCAAGCAAAGGTACAAGGCTCTCTGCCCACTAAGCCTCAGGGACATCCATGTGAGGGGACTGTATGCTGGCCATTGCAGTACAGAGTAAGAGGCCAGGCTCAGTGTGTCTGAAATGTTATCAGTGCTTCTGATATGAGTCTCAGACCCTTAACAGGTGCCTCAAGGGATTGCTGTAATACAACAGGTACACCTCAGACCCCCTGTAAAAAGACCCATGCACTTCTAATGCCCAAGACAAACTGACTTTCCCATGCCCGGTGCTGACAGGGCAGGCACATACTGTCATAAGAGGCAGAGCTGGTCATGATAGTCCTTCCCCATCTCCTTGATCCTCACATCCCCACCAGGAGTCAGGGAAGATGGAGAATGTTTCCCCTTTCCACAGAAGAGGAAAAGCAAGGCTAAGAAGAGGCAGGGTCGGAGAGACTGGCAAGTCCAAGCTGTCTTTGCCTACCTTGGGATGTATTCCCACAAGCCCTAGTTCTAAAGACTGACTGTAAACTGACCACATGCACTTCCTGGCGAGACTCTGCTCCCACAGCAGCCTAGGAAGCAAACTCAGTTCTGTCAGACAGATGATGAGGGAGGGGCTGGCCCCAGGGCTGGCTTTGGATCTCTCTACCTACAATTTCATCCTCTACAAAAGGAACAGGTGAACTCTGTTCCCTTGTAAGAGCTCAAAGGCCAGAACCATGGGAATACTGCCTCTAAGAAGAATTCCACCCAATGTCTCTCACCAGGAGAGAAGGTAATCTCCCACTGGAGCCCAAAGGAAGAGAGGCGGCTACAGATCCTTGTTCCTGCCAAATATGACAAGGGGCCTGAGAGAGGTAGAGCTTTGTGGCTCGGGCCCTGTTACCCCAAATTTGGGAAGTTAAGACAGGAAGACTAATAGTTCAAGGCCAGGACTAGAGAGAGGACTCAGCAGTTAGGAGCAGTTGCTACGCTGGCAGAGGTCCTGCATCCAATTCCCAGCACCCACGTGGTGGCTCACAACCATCTGTAGCTGTAGTCCCATGGGACTGAATGCTCTCTTCTGGTTTGCAAACATACATGCAGATAAAACACCCATATACGGAAAACACACACGTAAATAAATCTTAAAAATTAAAAAGTTCCTGGCCAGCTTAAGCTGTAGTTTAAGACTCTGCCTCAAAATAAAATTCATGGAGTAGAAGAGAACAATTTGTACCCATCCCCTCTGCTAACCTTCCTGAGAAGAGGCCAACCTTCTGGTTTAGCCTTTCTCTCACCTTTGCAACAACCATCCAGTGGATTCTGTGTGAAGCCCTGGGCTGGGCATCAGCTGTATTCAGATCATGGGGTAGCTTCTGCTCTCATGGAGTCTACCTCAGAGGCAGGGAGGAGTCCCACTTGTTCTTGTGAGGTTGGTCATTCAACTTGTGACCAACAGAAAGGTTTGCAGGGTGTATGGGAAGAAGCTGATCCTGTCTAAGGGTTGGAAGAGAAGCTTAAGGTCTCAGTGGCAGACAGTTAGCAGGGCAAGGGCATGAGTGGGATTTACATGACTGCAGCCATGAGCGTCTTTCCAGCCGCTGCCTCCTGTCTCTGGGAACCGGGAAGTTCTGGCCCCACCTGGAAGCCCAGTCATCTTAGTGGTTCATGAGTCCTGGCATCTGGATTGAGTGTCTCTTTCTTTCTGCAGCAGGGATTCCGAAGGATGAAGCCTTCAGCGGAGGCTTGAGTGCCCCGGCCCCTAAATACATCTGTACCCCGTTACTTCTACTTCTGTTCTGACCCTTTCCTTCCTCTGTAAATACAATAAAACCCCATCTTCATCTGCAGTTCAGCTTCTTTTATTGTCAATCTGTTTTTTTTTTTTAAAAAAACATGGTTTATATGGTTACCTCTCCCAAGTAGCATGGCGAAGGACAACGGTGTGAAACAGTTGGAGCTGGAGAGACAGCTCAGCTGGTGAGGTTCTTGCTGTGCAAGCAAGCATGAAGCCGAGCTCAGACCCCAGCACCCACATAAAGTAAGGCACAGGAGTGCGTGCCTGTAGTGTCCGAGATGGGGAGGCCCTGAAAGACGGATCCCTGAGGCTCGCTGGCCGATTAGTTTAGTCTGTGAGTCCCAGTGAGAGAGGTCTCAGAAAAAAAGGCCACAGTCCTTGGCTACATAGTAAATTCCAAGTCGGTCTGGGCTACATAAATTTCTCAGAAAAGCAAACAAAAAAACCTGAATAAATTAAGCCTTAAAAATTGACAACTGTAAAGCCTGGATGACGGGATGCCTGGAATGATTGATTAAAAGTGTAAAAATAACCACAGCATTTAAAATTGGATGGGACTCCTACCTCTAGGTTTTCCTAGCCAACCTAGTTCAATGCCAGCAGGAAAGGGAAGCACGTGACGTCGGTCCTGAGTCGGTCCTGCGACGTCTGAGGCCAGGTCTCCTATCTGTGAAAGCCCACCTGCTCCCCTGGGCAAGCAACAGAAGTGCACTGCAGGAGGCCGTTTGGTGGCTGCTGGAGACAATGTGAACAATGGGGGGAAAAAAGCTCCTCTGGAGGAGAAGGCTAGCCTAGAAGGGCAGGCAGAGGCAGGAGGCAGGGAACCTGCCAAGGTCTGAGACAAAGGCGGAGCTGAGCTGAATGGGAGACTCCCCCTCCCTTCTGGGCCCCACCTGCTCATCTCTTTCCCTGCCCTGTCCCAACAAAAGCAAAAGCTTTCAACGTTTAATTAGTTTTTCAGATAAAATACTGGGCGCTGAGAACCAAGGCTAGTTGTGGGTTTTGAGGTGAATGCCATTTCAGAAGGGCAAACCCATTGCAGCCACCCTGGGCTTTCTCTCCATTAGCAGGGCCTCTAGTGGCAGTTTAAAGACTTAACTCCTCCCACAAGAGGAGTTGGGAGCTACTTGCTCCTGGGGGGCCCTACTTAAGACTGAGGGCCACTTACATTGCACTAAAGATGTTTTCTTATCAATGGAGGACTTCTCCCTTTCATGTTTGAATTAACTTGGGAGTTCGCAGGGAGACTCCCTCCATGGCTTCCTACAACTGCACGGTGGAGGGGCCAGAGCCCACTTACTGGCAGGGTGCCAGCTAATGTCAGGGTGACTGGTACCAGGTCACACACCCAAGAGGGAGCAAGTCCAGGACTGATGGGTGTGTAGGGGGGGGAGAGGGAGGTAGGGGTAGTGACTGTTCTTGTATTGCTGTATGATTTCAGGCCCCTCAGTACTGTGAGCTGGGACATCAAGTGACCTAAACTATCGGGGCACAGGTAGAGCTGGAGCAAACTGCTTACAGGGCTTCTCATCACAATGAAGGTGCTCATTAGTTATGACGGGGCCACAGCCTATGGAAACCTGTGAAGCCATCATCAAGTGAGACCAGGGCTGTGCCTGCTGGTTAATGTTTATAATCCCAACACTAGGGAAACGGAGGCAGAGGGTCATGAGTTCCAGGTCAGCTCATGCTACATAGTGGGACTTTGCCTCAACAAACACTTAATAATCCTTAGGGGCAAGGGAGAGGATTCATCACTGGCTGTGAAGCATGAGAAGCCCAGTGCCCATAAAAAACGCCAGGCACCATGCGACTCTTACAATCCCAGTGGGATGGAGGAATAGATAGGCAGACCCGGGGTCTCACTGGCCAGCCAGCCTGGCCCACTTGGCTAGCTTGGAGTTAAGGTGGTGGTGAGCTGCCCCATTCGGGTGCTGGAAACTGAATCTGGGAGTCCTCTGTGAGAACAGTATGTGCTCTTAACTACATCAGCCCCTCAAAATCCAGGCTTTTAGAATATAAATTCTGGCCGGGTGGTGGTGGCACACGCCTTTAATCCCAGCACTTGGGAGGGAGGCAAAGGCAGGCGGATTTCTGAGTTCGAGGCCAGCCCGGTCTACAGAGTGAGTTCTAGGACAGCCAGGGCTACACAGAGAAATCCTGTCTCGAAAAACCTAAAAAAAAAAAAAAAATCTCTCAGAAAATAATTTTTATGTGTGTCTGTGAATGTGTTCATGGAGGCCAGGGGTTAACCTCAGGCACTATCCACCTTGTTTTTGAGACAGTCTTGTTAGCCTGGGGCCGTCTGACTGAGGAGGTGTGAGCGCTAGGATCTTGCCTGTCTCTGCTTTTCCAGTGTTGAGATTTCAGGCATACTCAGGGTTCAGCTATGGGTACTGGGCTAACCTTTCTAGCCCAAATGTCTCCATTTTAAAAAGCTGGCATCTAGTTCTAATGTTAACCACCATGGATAAAACAAAATACTTATAGGCCACTGCACTGGTTTGTAATCCTTGGGAGAGGTGAGGCCTCAAACTGCAGAATTCTAAATAGAACTGTCCTAGAATCTTTTCCCCTTCCCCAACCAAAACCCTCATTTCCTTACCACAGCAAAATCTGGTTAGGCTGGAGAGCAACCTTTAGACCCCAAATTTAACAAAGACTCTAAGATCTAGCCTAGAGCTAGATCCTATGTTCCTCCTGCTTCAGCTTCCTGAGTGGATTACAAAGGAATGCCACCACAAAATGTATCTTGTTTCAATATAATAATAAGGGTCTCTCTGTGTACTCACTCCAGGGTAGGGGAACGCCCACTTTGCTGCAGGAGTGTTGGGAACAAACGTTTACTCAGGTGGTCAGTCAGTCAGTGCTATAGTTTGAATTAGAGTCCTTCCAAAATCATATTGAAAGATATCCCAGTGCATTAAAAGGTGACGTGGTTCATACCAGTGTCTGGATTATTACCTTTATTCAAGGGCCAGGGGAATTAGCTAGCTACTCTTTTGTTTTCCTGTCCCTTCTGTCTCTGGGAACACGGATACGGCATCAACATCATCTGGAATGCGCAGACTCTCTTACTACTTACCAACCTTTGAGTTCTTAGGACTGTTGGGTCTGTCTGTCTGTCTATCTCCACACATCAATCTACCTTCTTATTTATAAATTATCCATCTATTATTACATTGCTTATAAATCATCTTACTGCCTATAAATGATCTATTTTACTGTTTCTAAAGTACCTGCTGCTTTGTGGTATTTTATCACAGAAGGAATGGACCGAAGCAGTCAGCTTTATTTATTGACACAATTTCAACCCTTCTCTACACACCAAGCCCAAATGTTCAAGGCAAAAGCCTAGAGCAGGCCTTTTGAACAGAACACAGAAGAATCTTCAAGGACAAGCATGGCTCCCACAAAATGCTTGCTCCTGGAGCCGAAAGGACACAGGTCTTTTGTTTTCTAGGGCACTTTGAGTACTGTTAAGAAAGGGGTGAGATGGCCCAACTGAAGACTGCTGAGTCCTCACATTTCACACGCAAGGCTCCACCACCACTGGGAGTCCACCATTCTCTTTATTCCAAAGCTGATGAATTACAGATTTCAACTTCAAATATAACATCTGGGCAACCTGGGATATTCACAGCATCTTGCTAGGCCTCATGACAAAGGGACAGACAATCTGGGCCCAGACATATCTGCTCCGTGAAGTAAATGTGAGAAACAAGTAAACAGGTAAGCACAGCCCAACTTTTCTCTTTCTAAATAATAGGTACTTCCTCCTTTCCTGTTCGGTCCTCAGTCCTTCCTTTCACACTACAAACTGCCGCCACACCTTGTTAAATGTTCATCTCAGCCTTGAGTCTTCAAACTTCTTCTGGAACTAATGAGCTGTTCTGGAAGAAAACGGAGACAGACATACAATTACTTATGGTTTAAAAGGACAGTGATTGTTCTTCTGTGGGAAGACAGGCATTCTCCCACTGGAAGATGTTTTCGACAAGGGGACAGTCCTGTATCTACTGGCTCCATTTGTAAATGCCCTGTCTCATTTCAAAAAACAGCTGAATCCCATGATGACCCCAAAACCATGAAGGAAGCTGAGGACTGAGGAAGGAGCGTGTGCAAACACGGGGATGAGGTAATTCCAGGCACACCTCTCACAGTACAGGCCCAAACAGGGAAGACTTCAGTCAGAAAGAGTTTAATCCTGCCAGCTGCCTGCATTCTTGCCAGTACAGACTCAGCAACTAACCTACTAAAGAAAGAGTATGGAAAAGGGCACTTGGTTCATAAAAACACTGTTTGGTTTGTTTGGTCTTCCTTCCATTCTTTTTTGGTTTGTAGGTTAGTTGGCTGGTTGGCTGGCTTTGGTTCCTTTTTTTTTTGGAGATAGGGTTTTGTTACGTAGCTCAGGCTGGCCCCAAACTTGTGATCCTCCTGCCTCAGCCTCTTGAGTGCTAGGATAGTGTACTTCTCAGATGAGAATCTCTCAGGCATTTTCTTCCCATCATTTCCTGAGGGAAAGAGCTGCAGAAGCTCAAGAAGGAAATGTGTAACCAAACAGAAGGCAGCCACGTAAGAGCAGAGAGCAAGCAGCAAGCGTGACAGAACACAGCTCAGCAGGCTGTGGGCCACGTGTGAACTGGGAGGATTCTACCAGTCTCACAGAATGGCAGGCTTCAAACCAACTGATTAAAGCAGTCCTCAGGAGGGCATGCAGGTACGGTGCTGGATCCTACAGACCAGTATGTGTGCCTTTAATTCTTTACCAGTGTTCACAAGTTCTTGACATTAGAGTTGTACCTGAGAGTGTCCAGGCTGGAAGGACAGCAAGGGTATGAAATGAGGTAGGAGAACTCAAAACCCCAGACCTTGGCCAACAACTGAAAGACTCCATCATACTTGCTCAAACCAACATGTGCCCTTCGTCAGCAGCACTGAGCCACATGGGGTAGGCCTGCACATGGGGGTGGGGGGGGGGGTTCCAGGCCCCACATGTCTCAAAGGCTCCAACGATCAGACTTGGATAGCAGGAGAGGTCAGAGTGAAGAACAAAAGAACTGGACAAGTCACAGGAAGGACTAGTTCTGAAGGTAAACCTCAGACAGAGCAACTGAAATTTAGGGCAAAACCAAAAGAATAAGGTCAGGCCACAAGGGTAGGCGAGGGACAGCCTACACCAGGGTTCAGAGGAGCCTTCTGGACTGGAGAGTCTATCTTACTAGGTGGGAGTCGTATGACTACATGCTTACTTTTGCTTATTTATTCATTATTTATCTAGATACAACGTCTCCTATAGCCGAGGATGACATTGAACTCCTGACCCTCATGCCTCTGTCTTCCAAATGTTGGGATTACAGGTGTAAGCTACCATGTCCAATATACCTCACTTACACCTGGGGGGGGGGGGGTCGGGGTCATTTTCTTTCTGAGTTAAGGACAAGGGCTTTTGTTGACTTTTCCATTTCCAGAGGATTAAAAACTAGGTGAGCTGGGATTTGCTTTATTTCTTTGTCGGGGAAAGCTATTTCTAAGGCAAGGGATAAAAGGAGACATGAGTGAAAATTAAAATCTCTCTGTCCTACTTGTGGTGTAAGGCAGGGATGAGCCAACTATGTCACAGAGGCCCAATCCAGCCCACCTCCAGGTTGGGGAGATAGTATTTTTGGGTGCGTGGTCCATGGGTTCACACTGCAGTGCTGGAGGGAGACAAGCATCAACATACTGGACAAAGAGACTCCACAGAGCCTCTCGTGGGCCCTTCGTCTGCAGGAGCAGATCCAGGAAGCTGCACCTACCCCTGCCCTTGCTCTAATCCTGACTGAATCTGCTGTCCCATCAAGAGCCCTTGAAAGGAGGGCTGCTGTGTGTCACACCCTGTGCTCCAGGTATGATTTTGCTGTTGGCTTTGATCTGTGGTCATCAGCCATTCACAACTGAATCTCACCAAATTGCACGGTTCAGACAAGTGTTCTGGAAAGGCCTAGAAGTAGTGACAAGGTGTGCCAGGAGTTGCCGTGGGACCATCACTTAGTGAACCACATAGTCAGGATGGATGGGCCCTGGCAAGAAGTCCAAGTTGGACTTGTCTTACCCTCAACTCCTGTTCTCACACAGAGGGACTACTGTCTACACAGCGGCATCCTCCGGGAAGGCTGTCCCGGTCCAGCCACAAGCTCACTTAACAAGTTGTCAAACAGCCTCTGAATTCATCCTGGTAGAGGGAGTGGTGGGGAGGACCGAGCAGGTGGAAATGGGACAGTAACTGGCATGCATGATGTGGGCAAGACGGGAGAGGGAGCCTGCCTCTGGGGTGAGCCGCCCTTCATCTTTACCGTAGTGTCCTATATTTTGCCAATCTACTGCTCTGCTCTGCAGCGGTCCTGCCAAAGGAAAGAGGTTTGAGAATCAAGAAAAGAAGTGAGAGACAAGCTGAGGACACACATGGTAAACCAGACCAGAGCTCCTGTCAAGGCCGGGCCTTTTCCCGGGCAGCACAGGCTGTCGGACGTGTGAAGAGGAGGTGGGGAGGGGAGAGCACCCAAGTCTCTAATGAGAGCCATGGGTCTTTCCAGAAAGTGCACATGAGTAGGGCTTCCACAGTGGAGACATCTGCTGCATGGACTCTACAGGGAATGGTTTTCTCACACTGCTCTTCCCTTGACTTCATTGTTCTTGTGGACAATTTCCAGAGAAGAAAGAAGTTAATGGACAGAGCACATACAACCTTCTGGGTCTGGAAGCCCAGACTGGTCGCTGAAGGAAAAACAACCAAGTCCCAGCCTTCCTTTTCTGGATGCAATGTGCAGTGTCAGGGGTGAAGCAGCTACAACTGGGGGCACTGAGAGCAGCTCTGGCGGGACCTAGACGGGGCCCAGGGAAGTCAGGGATGTTTGCACAGGAGCTCATGGTGAGGCAGCTTACGAGACCCCCCAACCCTGCCCAGTCCTTAGTGGTCTCCTTGATAACACCCCTCTTGGATCAAACAGATGTAACTGGCAGCGTGTTTAAGGGCATGTTTCTGAGTTCCATTCTGCCAGCAAAAGTCCCAGAGAGGAGAAAGCAGAGTGAGTCTGAAAATAATTTCTTTCAAAGGTGAAAGCAATTCTGACCTTTTCTTATTGGCCTTTGCGTGGCTGTAATCAGTCAGGTTCTATAAAGTCAAATCAATGAGAAACACCTATGTGACATTTAAATTTGCCTCCAATTCTGTTCGGAAAGTCAAGCTGCTACCACATTTGTCTGCCTGTCATGCTGGCTTTCAGTGGGTTGCCATGCCCACACAACTGCTGAGGGGCAGAATACAGACCTGTAGATGGGAGGGACAGCTCTGGCACCATCCAGGGCCCCAGCAGAGGTGCCATTTTGGGGGCACAGGAGGGGAGGGCAAGAAGGATTTTTACACCACATGGCTAACACATTTCATCAACACAATGCAGTCAACCCCTCCCCTCCCTCTCATTCTAATGTGAGGACACAGACTACTCTGACTTTCAAACATCTACCACTGGTCACTAAGGCTACTTTCTTCTTTACAAGTCTTGCTTATGGCTTCCCTAACAGGCTGGAGGAAGGTATCAGACTTGCCCCCAAGGATGTGAATCATTCTGCCACATACCTTTGTGGTCTCACAGCTAGGCTGGCAGTGCCCACACAAACGTCTCTTATCCCACCCTGGAGCTTGGTCCATCCCCAGCCTCACCTCTTAACTGCCTGCTGGGCCAGCATTCGGTTGCCAGCCAGAAATGTCACAGTGCCCAGGACAGCCAGGTACTTCAGGGTCTGGAACATGTTGAGCTGAGTCCAGTAGACATACATGAGCCCCAGCATTGCTATAAGAGTGTCATGATATCCAGTTAATGGGAGCAGTGACAGTGGGGAGGGGTAGGGAGCAGGGTGCTGCACCCTGAGGGTCAGCATTTCCCAGCAGCTTTTTTAACCCTTTTATCTCAACACCAGACAACAATATACTTGCCTTTGAGCTTTCTTTACCAAGAAATCTAGAGGTGAGACTCTGAGTTCAGGCACCATTACCTCTCTGAGCTACAGGCCTGCTCCCATCCACTCTGCTTCCCTCACGTGGGCTTTTGTTTTTACTTTCTAATATTTGGGATAATTTTAGGTTTCAAATTCTTTTTTTCCCCCTTCTCTTCTCCCTCTCGCTCTGGCCCCACTTGCTCTGGCCCAAAGGTTTTTATTTATTTATTATATGTAAGTACACTGTAGCTGTCTTCAGACATCCCAGAAGAGGTCATCAGATCTCATTACAGATGGTTGTGAGACACCATGTGATTGCTGGGAATTGAACTCAGGGCCTCCAGAAGAGCAGTCAGTGCTCTTAACCACTGAGCCATCTCTCCAGCCCTTAGGTTTCAAATTCTTAATGAAAACATTGAGGACATAAGCCAATTAGTCATTTCCTTTTAATTAGAAACATATTAAGAACAATTTGCCACTGTGGCTTAGAAGTGAGCAGGGGCCTGGGAAGGCTCAATGCAGAGCCGGGCTCTGAGCACTGGGGTTTTTGTAGGCTCTACTCTTACCAGCTTGTAGCTTCCCTGAGCCCAAATTCTTTCACCATCAAATGGGTTAGAGTTCCTGCCCCAGTTACCCCTATCAGGGTTCATTGAGACTCAAACAAGGAAATACACTTAAAAGGAAATTGGCAAGGAAGGTCATGGCTCTAAACACATTTCTATTCGTGTCTTGCTCCCAGCCTGAGGAGGGCTGTCATTCAAGTTCAGTAACTAAGCAGGGGAGAAAGGTCACCCTACCAGTTCTGCCCAGGATGACAGATAAACTACCACAGAGGTGATTGATTTTTGAGGTCAGGAACCAATGTGAGAATCTCATCAAAGTTACAGACTCCCTTTCCTCCAAAATATTTCCACATTTGCCTGGAAAGAGATTCTTCTATGGATCCCCAGAGAAGCCATGTACTATATATGGATACAGAGATAATATGCCTTCAAGAGGCAAAGGAATTAAAAACATTATGTTTCCAGTGGGATGCAAAGGTCTGGAAATGCTTCCATGATTTGGGAATTTACTCTTGTTATGCTTAGGCTGTTTAGGTTCTACATTCTCCAAGAACAATGGAGGACAGTGTGTCTGATCAAGGAAGGGATTTTCTATTACTGTCCAGACAGAGCTGCCAGCAAATATGAGGATCAATGTGGTGTAGAAAGATAACCTTTGGAAACGGCATTAAATGCTCTTCATCCAGGAAGACAGCTCAGTGTAAAGACACGCTAAGTGAGTAATCTCTGGAAATGAACGGGCTATTAAATGAGGGTAAATGGCTTGCCACAGCCTCCCAGTACAATGAGGCCCAATAGAATGACAGCTGTTGTAAGCTGACAGGCCAAACAGGTTTATCATCATATTAACTGTGCTGAAAGGCCAGGAAGAAGAGGGAAACGTGCTATTAAGCCATTATAGTTAATAGGTTGTGAGTCTACTTAACAGGGCTTTAGCGTGGGCAGGCAAAATGTCAGAGGAGGTTACATGGAATTAGCAGCCTGGGGCACTTACCAGCATGTCCCAGGTGAAAGACAACTGTGCTAGGAGCAAAGGTGAAGTTGGAGATATTGGCTCCAATCCGGATCCACTGAGTGACCGAGAAATAAATGAAGATTAGAGTGTGACAGTGTGGGGACACACACTATGCCAACACTGACCCGAGCCCCAGAGCGTCAAAGTTCATATACACTAGAAGGACAGGAATTTCTCTAGGTGACAAACATGCCGTTCTAAGTCCTCAGGAAGAACTGTCTCTTCTTCCCTCTGAAAGGTCAGAAGCTGCATCGATCACAAATGACTGACAGTTCTACTAAGCTGTCTAGGAGTCAGGACCGTAAACCACAGGCAGCAAGAACATGCTCTCACGATGGATTCGGTGCCTCCATCACCCCAATACAAAGATACTCACACACCAGGTCTGTCTGAAAGCTTGTGCACACTCTGCACTTTTAACATTTATCTTTGTTGAAAATCAACCAATTAATTTAAAACACAGGCAACCTGCCAAAAATAATACCTAAAGTTTTGTTTGCCTAAATTCTCCGAGCTTTGAGGTTATGTACCTACATTTATGATTTTCAGAGAAACAAAGGAAAAATTTAATTGGTTAAAATATACAAATTGGGTCTGGTATTAATTTCATGGCAATCTGGAAGTAGAGGCCGGTGGGTGAGCTCTGTGATTTCAAGGACAGCAGTCTACACAGCTAGTTCCAAGAAAAAAAAAAAAAAATTTGTGGGGGGTGGGGGGAAGGAGGGTTTGAGACAGAGTTTCTCTATGTAGTCCTGGGTGTCTTGGAACTTGTTCTGTAGACCACACATCTGGCCCAAGACAGTCTGGTCTTTTTTTTTTTTTTTAAAGTGAACACAAACCAGGTGTAGTGACGCACATCTTTGGTTCTTGTACTTGTGAGGCAGAGGCAGGCAGAACTCTGTGAGTTAGAGACCAGCCTGGTCTACAAAGTGAGGTCCAGGACAACCAGGGAAGCACAGAGAAACCCTGTTTCAAAAAACAAACAAACAAACAAACAACCCAAACCAAACCCAAATACCTCATATATGTATGTATATACACACATACATAAATAAACTTTTTTTTTTGAGATGGTATTTCTTTTGTATCTCTGGATGTCCTGGAACTCATGCTGTAGACCATGCTGACTTAAAACTCAGATCTGCCTGCCTCTGCCTCCTGGGTGCTACCTCCTCTGCCATGGCTGCTACCACCACTCAACTATTAAAGTAGGAATTTTCTTCTTTTACAACCTCCATACTGTTTCCTCCCCAGAGCTGACCAACACTAATACAGTTTTAAAAACTTTTCTACAACAAGATTACACTGAATTTACCTAATCTCTTTGCCGGCTTCTTTCTGTAACACCTGTTGGCATCAGTGAGCAGATCTGTCCATCTGCTAACAGCTGGCACACCATTCATTGTGTGGACAGAGTAATTAACACCTCTTTAAGTGGGCCTCCCCTGCACTCCAGCTTCACACTCCCAGGAGATCTGGAATGCCGCTTGTTCTCCATTCTTTTTTTTTTTTTTTTTTTTTTTTGGTTTTTCGAGACAGGGTTTCTCTGTGTAGCTCTGGCTGTCCTGGAACTCACAGGGTAGTCCAGGCTGGCCTCGAACTCAGAAATCCGCCTGCCTCTGCCTCCCAAGTGCTGGGATTAAAGGCGTGCGCCACCACGGCCCGGCTTGTTCTCCATTCTTAAAGCTATCGACATTGACCTCTGTCCTTTTTCCATAGCTGATCTCATCTGAGCACGCCACCAGAGGATCTCAGACTGCACACTGGTCACTGTCCGCAGGAATGTTCTCATGCTCCCTTCTTAACGGATAGGTTTATTTGTCTCTTTCTTCACCATGGGGAACTCCGCTTATTCTAAAACTGTCCATTAGTTCGAGTCACAGCTGCTGGGCCCCTCTAGAGCTGTGCTTAGGCCACAGCACAAAGACTCTTTTGGAATGGCTACATCTGTCCTGCCTGGAGCCAGATGCACTGCCCATGCTAATGAAGGTGACTCACCAGTGCAAAGAGCAGGAGCAAGGGCGCAAGGGTGAGGGCCGTGAACGTGCTGGACACCACCGTGGGGGGCCTCTTCTCAGGCTCGCGGAACTGGTGCTGACAAGAGAGGACACATCACAAAGTTTCAGAATGTGTCCTTCTCAGCCGGGACCAAATGCCAACAATTGTGGAGAGGAAATACCTCCTAGAGACCAAGCCTTTGACTGGCTTTATGCTACTTCTCTGATCCCAGGCATCTCTTCCCAGGACACTATTCGGGTTCCAGCCAGTATATGGCTAACCTTTCTCCTCAATGACTCTTTGCCCTTTAGAGGCTGGAGATTGCAGACCATCCAGGGTCATGTAGCTGTGTCAGAAAGAAGGCTCAGGGCTAGGGACAGCTTGGATGGACACCCAAGGACTCTAGCCCTCAAAAATGTTCGTGGGTTCCTAGGTCATGTTACTGCCCTGTTGTACTTGACCAACTATCAGTAACTGCAACCCCTTTAAGATCCATCAGGGCCTCATTACAGATGGTTCACCCTAACGTACTTTTTATTCCCCAGTCATGGCTCTAGAGATCACCTGAACAGACCTCCCTCACTAGCCCTGTTTAACCTCTAGAGTCAAGCCAGAAAGCTGGATAGCGTGCCTCCGAGACATGTTTCATCTGTTCCTGAGCAATCAGACACTCAGCAGCTCACCTCAACGGCCTGCGGTAGCAGAAGCAGCAATGCACTACGAGTCCACAGAATATACTTAGGCACAAGTGATGTTTGGCTGAGACTAGTGGCATGGTACTCTGTGCCTCAGTTTCTAAGTAAGGAAATTAGAGTAGGGAGGGCCACGGTCACTCTGTTAGGCTTGTGAAAGACCCTATGAGGGACACATGAGCTGTGACACTGTGTACCCCTATCTTTGAAAGCATCTGTTCTTCATCTGTAAACTATGGCCTCTTTCCCACTTGCCATGAGCTGCTGTCCCAGCTCTGTTTCCAAGTAGTTCTGCTGGAGGCTGGAGTCCCCATGTTCAAACTGTGGCTCCTCTTTGCTGCCACTGGTTTCCTAGTGCTGTCTTTCATGACTGCTGCCACTGGTCGATCCTATAGCCCAGCCAGCCCCCTTCCTTGTCACAGAAAATCCTGCTAATCCTAAATGATGCCATAGAACATGACACAGATTTAGAAAGAATCCTTCTCCCCGCCCTTTGAGGCCCTGTCCTTTATTTTATTCTTGGAACTTAGGCTCCTCTTGCCTCGGGCTCACCAATGTTAGGATTAAGGTGCAGGCCAACACACCTGGCTATCGTTCATGGTAGCAGGGCGATGAGAGGAGGAGCCTCAAAACAATTTTTTTTTTTAAAGATTTATTTATTATATATGAATACACTGTAGCTGTCTTCAGACACACCAGAAGAGGGCATCAGATCTCATTACAGATGGTTGTGAGCCACCATGTGGTTGCTGGGATTTGAACTCAGGACCTCTGGAAGTGCAGTCAGTGCTCTTAACCACTGAGCCATCTCTCCAGCCCGAGGAGGAGCCTCTCTTTTTACACTTCCCACTCTCCCACGTGAAGTGCTTCACGCTGCCATGATGACTGGATCTCAGGACCGCAGTGCACTATGGGACCTACCTCACGTTCCTTGACAGCTGTGTTTACTCTATGAAGGGTTTCAGGGACACTGAAAAGCCTTTCCTTACTTATCCATCTTTGTCCTCATAATCTCTGCTGGGCTGGGTTTGCTTATTTTGTGTCACAAGGAAATGGAGTGGCCTGAGATAAACAAGAACTTAACCAGGGCAGTAAAGCCCTGCCCCTCAGGTGAGTTCTCAGCTGTTAGTCTGACTTATACAGCAGAGAGGGTAAGAGTGAACCCTTCTCACGCCTCAAGACTGTCCAGGGGTGGTCTGGGATCTAGTGTAATCTCTGTTGTGCTTTCAGCTGGAAGACGGGACCACTAACTTGGCCTGCCTCATTCCCAGAGTGGTAAGATTCACACCATAAAGCACCACATGCAAACAGGCTGAAGGGCCAGAGCCACAGCCCAGAAGTTTGCAGTTTTCTCTTCCTGGGTCCATTTCAACTCTTGGCTTAGTGGATACACCTTTGGACTATACCTGAATTTCCTGTTTTGGGGTAAAAAGGTTCTGGGATAGCACAGTGGAGGGAGCTTCTTCTTCGGGGAACTTGATAACCACATCAGCCTGAAAAAAACAAGACTAGTTAGAGGTACAGGGTAAGAAGAGGCCAAGCCCATGACTGAAAAGGCTCTCCACAGTCCAGTCACTTCTCATCCATTAGCTGACAAATGGAGGCAAAAAAATCTGAAGAACAAACCCAGCATTTGCCAAAAGTATCTTTTAGAGCAAGGATTCCAATTTTCTATTAGTGTAGTGGGACAGCCCCCTAAGGCTGCTTACTCCAGAAAACCCTAGTTGGTGTCCTGGCTGCTCCAGCTGAAATTCAGACACTGCCAGGTGTCCTGGCCCTGGGAAGTGTGATTTAATCACATAAAAATGGCACAGAAGTATCAAGTCCGGGAGAAGAAAAGGAATCGTGAAAGTAGCAGAAAGGTGGCTACTCCTTCATCCTGCATGGAGCCAGCCCTGTCTGACTTTGCTAACTGCCCTCTGCCACTTCCCAAACCCATCACTTCTGCTCCTTTACCAGACTAAGGCTCAGGAGCCTCCAGTCTCCCTGAGAGCATGCTGAGCTTCTCTGGAGGCTGCCCCTTAACATACACTCTCAGATACTAGTCTAAGAGGCCCACGGTTCCTTACTTTAATCCTTGCTCCAAAGCTGCATTTCATGTTTCTGTGATCAGAACTATCAAAAAAGTAAGGCCTGTAAGGAAGAACCATGAAACCTATAGCATAATCACACAATTGCTGAACATTATTAACTAGCATTCTGTACATTCTCTGCCCTCTTCTTCCCCAGGCTACAACAGATCTCAAAGACCAAGACCATATTTGTTTGTCTATGTATGCTCCAGCGTCTTGATGTAACCAGAAACCCTCTTTCTGATAAAATAATTATAGAAATTCATGGGATGTATGTATTTCATCCGTTTGTTTGATCAATACTTATCAGGCCTTACTATGTGCTAAGGCTGCGGTGTACGATCCTCGGTCTTACAGCAAGGCTGTCAGTGTGAGGTGCAGCGCCGCAGCCTTCACCTAGGCGCCTATCGGGCACATACCACGTTCCAGAGGATTGGGTTCTTCAAAGTAGCATCCCCGATGATTAAGTAGAGAGTGTATGTGCCAGAGGCAGAGTCAAACTCAATCTTTCTTTCGGAGGTATCCAGTTCAAACTTATACACATTCTTGTTATCCGGCTCAGCAACAAACACCACTTCCTGGCCAGTCTTCTGGTTATGAAGCCGAACAAATGTCTGGTGAGAACAAGAATTCCATCTGATCAGAGGGCCCAACAATGAGTCAGCCAGGAATAGAGTCCCCCTCTTTTGTTATAGTGAGAGCTCTGGTTCAGGCAGACCTGCTCCTCAGAGGGAAGAAGCAGCCATCTGACTCTAGTTCCCACCACTGGAATAAGGAGAGAATCCTGTCTTAGCTGTCTGGCGATGCTCAGCGACTCGGAGCTGAGCACCCAATGTGAGCATTTGCCCTCCTGCCTGCTCAGCCACTGAGCTGCCCAATTAACTTCTTCACCAGAGCAAAGAGAGGGAAACAAGGGGCAGGAGGCTCACTTTCAATTTCCCAGTGTTTCTAGCTCAAGATATAGCAGAGGAGGCTCTGCTGTCAATAACAAGGCAGAGTTCTAAGGGGACAGGGCAGCCTGGTGTCACAGAGAGCCTGGCTCTGTACACAGCAACCAGCTCCGTCACTTAGTCACTTAACCTCCTTGTACTGTGACTTCTCCATCTTTAATGCAGAAACATCTTAACTACTTTGGTGCCTGTGTGTGAAGATTTTGTAACAGTGCATGCAAAGCACGAAGCGCAGAGCCTGGAAAGTAGGAGCCACTCGACCACCATTCATCAGTAGCTGCTCGGCCTCACTACAATGGTTCTGGGTCTAGTCAGTTAAGGCATAAGAAACTAAGGTCTTGCCAATGTGTATTAGAACTGCAACAAAATTTAATATCCACACAAGGCTTTCCTTTCAAGGGCTTCAAGACAAAGAATTCAACAAGACAAATGGTTAGCTCCAATTTATAGGTTAGTGTGTCTGGACGCCAAGTCTGTGTGTGGTTTATCTTCTTCTGGTTTTACACAGGTTCAGAGGGGGAACTCACATTGTCCGGCTTGTATAGCAAGGACATTTATCCACTGAGTCACCTTGCTGGCCCTTTTAGAAGGTCCTTTGAGCCCCGAGTTTAAATTCTAAGTACTATGAAAAATTTACAGTAAAAGCACAAGGCTTTTAACAAAACCCTGAGTGATGCTAGCGAACGCTGTGGCGGGAGAACCACACTGCCAGATGGATACAGCACAGCAAACAGTATGAGAGAAACGTGTACTCTCTAGGGAAACCGTGCGCTTGCCTTCCTGCCTTAGCTACCGCAAGCTTCTATGACACACATCTGAGCTGCTGAGCTGAGCTCATCTTTTTCCTTTTTCTAAAAACATGTGGACTTGAGTTAATGGGTCACAGTCACCACAAAGGAGTAATGGGACATGGGACAAGCTGACCGGACTGTCAGTGTGCAGTCAATTTGCATCTGTGTCGGAGCATCTGCTCTGATGTACATTCAGTTTCTGAACAGGAAAACAACAGGGCCACATCCTGACCTGGTGAGGGGTGAGCTCCGCACCGGTGTTCACATCTACTAGCTGGAAAAACAGGGCAAAGTTCTGATGGCTGTCTGCGATGAACGTACCCTTGGCTTTGGCTGGGTAGGTCACCCTGAAAGAGATGATTTTATATACACATCAGTCAGTCTTCTCCCAGCATCTCCCTGTCTGAAAACAGGGATAATAACAGCCTATCCCATTTCACCACTTCCACGGTGGATCAACTAACATACAAAAATATCTGTGGCCTACAGGCCAAGTGGATCAATGCAGCTACACTAAAGAGGCATTTCCTTTTCTCTCTGTCTGTTTTGTTTGCTTGCTTGTTGCTAGAGCTGAAACTCAGGTCTCATGAATGCAAGGCAAGGTGAACCACAAAGGTCGACCAGACCACTAAGCTTCCGATCTCAGCTGCAGGCCAGGACTGAGAAAAGCACAGAGAACTTGAACCAGGGTCTGGAGAAACGCTCTCTGAGAATGCATACCTCCCTTCACTTCAATGACTTGGGCTCTTAAGTGGCCCAGCTCAGGTGCAGGGAGCCTACGTGCACGCTGCAGGGTTGGCAGAATGCAGAGAACAATCACAGGTCGACGCCAGCAGCACTGCGGCTGACAGGAGCAGAAGGCTGGGGTACAAAGCAAAGACGGGGTGCTGGGCTTTTCTTTTTTATGCTTCGTTTCCTGGACTGTCTCAATTTATTTTTCTGCTGTGAAATTGGCTTTTTAAAAGACCATTTTGAAAGGTAGATCTGAAGCTGTGTTTCCACAGAGGTCTCTGGGACATAAGAGAAAGACAGCCAAGGATCAGCAAGCCAACCAGTCAGAGCTCACACCTGCCTTTGCTTTACATTCTCAGTTTATCTGACTCACAAAGACCATCTCCACAGAGAATTAACTTTGCAAACCACTTTTCCAGACATTCTTGTAGTGCATTCTCAAATAGTGCTCTTATCCTTACAAACACTTCAGGGACAAAAAGTCTAGCCCTACATGACTCACAAGAGACTCACATGGCTTACAGCATGCCCTGCCTTCAAAATGGCTTCAGGGTTCATCTGCCTCTACAGCCACTCCCTAAGAGTAAAGTTGGGATCTGAACTACACCAAAGACATAGACAGCTACTCCCCACTGCTCCCCACAAAAATAGGGTTCTAAGTGATATTGGCAAATGGTCTTCACCAGGTATTCTGGCCAACCCTGATCACATGTTAATGGCTAGTGCTCACTTCAGCACCACATGTATTAAAAGCTTGTCATGATACAGAGAATATTATGTATGACACTTGTGCAAAGGTGATATGAAAATCTGAAGTGTTCCAGACTTTTATGTTAAAAATGTTAATGATTCCCTAGGAGTTTGCACTTCAAAACAAAACAAAACAAAACTCTGAAGCTGTGTCTCAGGCCACCAGGAGCTTCTGAGTGATGGTGAAAGTACCAGTCTTACTGCTGTCGGTCACCTAAGACCATAGGAAAACACACATATTTACGTTACCACTCATTAAGAGTAGCAAAATTACACTTATGAAGTAGCAACAAAAATCGTCTTATATTTGGGGGTCACTACAACATGAGGACTACACTACAACTGTATCAAAGGGTCAGAGCACTGGGAAGGGTGAGAACCACTGTTTTAGAGCTAGGCCTAAGGCTTCCAACCTGGATTCAGACCTACAGTGGCCAGAAAGCTTCCATTAGGCCATACCAAAAGCTTATTCAGGATTCTGAAATAAGACTGCACTAAAATACAAATTAACCCACTGTTTCCTCTGACTTAAATAATGTGAATGACACAGTGGACTCGAGGTTGAGACCCTGAAGTAACAGAGTTGGTTCATGAACCAGACTCTAGGAAGAACAATCCCCACTGCCCACTAGACTCCCTAGAACAACACCACTGGACCCGTAGTCTCTTAAATTTGGGATGAGAGTGGGGTCACTGTCATCAGAGACACCCCCTGGAGGGGCAGAGTGCCTTGATATGTTCTTTCCAGCTCTGAAGCTTAGGGATCCTCGGCGCCCAGGTGGCAGACCACTTACCGGGTAGTTTTGGGTGCGATGCTCTGATCCTTATCCACGGTGGAAAGATCAACATTTGTGATGCCAACTTCAGTGGAGATCTTGACTCTAAGCTACAGCAAAACATGAAAGTCTCGTCAACTGACATGTATGAGACATGTACACCCAAAGCCTTCCTGTGTGTGCGTGTGTGTCCAAATGCACATGCAATCCAGAATCTCCTACCTTGGTAGATAAGAACCACCACTGAGTCACATCCACAGACCAAAATTTTCTTTTTTCCTTCCTTTCTTACTTTTTGAGATCATCTCACATGGCCTAAGCTAGCTTGAACTATGTAGCCAAGGATGATGACCTTGCACTTCTGATCCTTCTGTCTCTGTCTCCTAAATGGTTGGCTGGAGTAGAAAGTTGTGTCACCGTCCTGGTTTCACATAGCTTTGTATATGCTTGGCAAGTGTTTTACCAACTGACCTACAGCCCTGCCACAAAATGTTCTTCTCTTCAAAGTGAATAAAAGTAGGAAAAGAATTCTAGGATAGGAGTCTTTGAGAGAACTGTCAACCTGGCCCACCTGCCAGACGGCATCTCTCCCCAGTCCCAGCCTGAGCCCTGAGAGGGAAGACCTTGGCTCTCGTCCTTCATCACATCTCTAGCTTTCCTATGTTTTTCCCCCCCCAGAGCTGAGAATTGAACTCAGGGCCTTGCACTTGCTAGGCAAGCGCTCTATCACTGAGCTAAATCCCCAACCCTCGTATGTATTTTTAAAAGGTGAAAAAGCAAGGGAAGGAGTTTAAAGAAAAGTCCCTAAAATTAATATGGGAGCTGGGTGGTGGCGGTGCTTGCCTTTAATCCCAGCACACAGGAGCCAGAGACAGTCAATCTCTGATTTTGAGGTCAGCTTGGTCTATAGAGTGAGTTCTAGGACAGCCAAGGCTATACAGAAACCACTTGAAAAACAAACAAACAAACAAACAAACAAACAAACACAGAGAGTTCCTTTCTTTCTTTCTTTCTTCTTCTTTTTTTTTTTGGTTTTTTGAGATAGGGTTTCTCTGTGTAGTTCTGGCTGTCCTGGAACTCACTCTGTAGACCAAGCTGGCCTCGAACTCAGAAATCCGCCTGCCTCTGCCTCTCAAGTGACACCACTGCCCGGCAGGGAGTTTCTTATATAGTAATGTCTAAATAACTCATGCTGGGAAGTCCTACCAACCATAAGGAGTCTGCACTTTATGAAAGGCACTGGCTCTATAAAACCACGTCATTCAGCACAGCAGGAAGGCAGTCCTGTGTCAGATGTGGACATGAAAGTCTACGGAGAGCATGAGATGCTGCTCGGGCATCAGAGTCCACAGGCAGAGGTTCTGACGGTCAGCCTCTGGTCCCTACTAAGCTTGTGTCCAGTAACCCTCCCCACGCAGATGTAAGATGCCATGGTCAATCTCTATAACCAAGGAGCTCCCACTCTCTGCTGTGTCCTGGTCGGCATACTATGACCTTTGTTTCCCTTGGAGTCACAGTGAAGCATAAGATTTGCTTTGACCAGCGAAATATGAGCAGAAGGAAACGGTATCATTTCTTTGTGGAAGTCTAGGCACAGGCTTGTTCCTTTAGTCAGGCTTCCTGAGTAAGATGACATGAAGCAGGGCCTCTGACTGACTCTAGTGAGTCCTGTCATAGGCAAAAAAGAAACCTTGGGTCTTTCAAACCAGTAAGATCTAGAATCTGTTCTAAGTGCCAACCAGACCATCCTAGCTCTTCCTTTATAAACATTTCTAAAAAGAGACGCTAGCTAATGCCAGGAAATAAATTTTAAAGTTAGGTTAAAATAAATGTAAATATCCAAAAGATACAGAAAACATGTTAAAAATCTAAGTCTGAATGTGTAAATTATGCAAACCCAAGGCATATTTTTGTACACATGTGCAAATGTATCCATGAACCTTCCAAATATGACAGGCTTGAGTGTAACAGAGAAATCCTTGGCAAAGTCAATCATTTCGCTGGCTCAAACTGTTGGGATGAAGGAAAAGAGCGGCCTGCACAGATAACGGGAAGAGAGCTGTGGCATTTTCTAGGGTGCCACATGCATGTATGACAGCTCAAATCAAGACCAAAAGAAGAAATTAATGGAACCCTTTTTAGCAATCTTTTTTCTTGCTTCAATAAAAAACCACGTTGTGACGGCAGCCTCAGTTATCTGGCTGAATAATTTTTTATTTTGCTTAAGAAAACTTCTGAACCAAAAAAAAAGCCGGGTGGTGGTGGCACACACCTTTAATCCCAGCGTGTCAGACACTCTCTCCACTCACTGGCAGAATTCTATCTGGTATCACTGCCTGGCAATGAGATGGGCAACTCCATGGTTACAGCAGCAGATGAAGAAGGAAGTCATCAAACGGACAAGCCATGCCCCCCCCACCTCACCACAGAGTAGGTTCAGAATCAGGGCAAGCTTTCCTATATGAAGTCAGGCCTATAGAGGTTCTTGGCATGTCTATCAGACAGCAAGCAATCGGAAAGTTCAGGCTCAAGAAATCTGAACACATATAACCAGACTGCTACTCACTTCCTGTCCCCACATAAGCCCCAACCAGGCTGCCAGTTCCAGGTATTCAATAGAGGAGTACACAAGATGCTTTGAAAGCAGATGTACAAAATAGGTGTGTGACGTAGTGTACGGCAGGAAGGCTAGGCAGGTTTGCAGGACTCAGGCAGTCCTAATTTGAGAAAAAAAAAATTAGTTATAGTCCTTGCTGTAAAAAGTCTGTCTTCAAGTTAACTACTGTGCAGTTATCAGTCACATTAAACAGATATTTCCTTCTTCATTTTCTTGAATCTTTCTCTAGGTGTCATTTAGTCAATATAATCACAAAAAATGTTCCTAAGTAGGAAACTAACTACATAATGCTAATGCATATTACGAATTACTGTGGAGCAATTCAGGAGACGGAGGTGTGTGGACAGACAAGAGCCCACCGCCCCTGCCTGCAGCTAACCTGGCAGAGTTCTGTCTCACTAGTGAGCACTAGTGAGCACAGGCAGTGGGGAGCTGCCAGGCATTCTGGAGGCGGAGGATGGTGTGGCTTTCAATAGACTCCCAAGGGATGAGTCTCTACTTGTGACAAAAACAAAGAATATAACTATCAAATGATCCCTCCACAGCAAATAAAGTTTTTTCTATTACTTTAAAAATATATTATTTTAAATTATGGGTATGTGTCTGAGTGTGGCTACTACGTACACATGTTACAGGCGTCCTTAGAGGACAAAGCTATCAGATCCCCAAGAACTGGAGTTACAGGCAGCTGTGAACTGCCTGATGTGGACGCTGGGAACTGAACTAAGGTCCTCCGGAAGAGCAGCAGGGACTCTTAAACCACTGAGCCATCTCTCCAGTCTCATCTTTTATATTTTCTTAGCACCCAGAAGCTACTGATGATAGACAGACTTCTCCAAAAAGGACTGAACTGGGAGGATGGGGAAAGACTCATATTCATTATTATTTTTCTGTACTTTGAAAGAAAAGCACACACCCACAAGTATATTTAATTCCTGTTTTTAAAATTCCAGGATAATCTGGACGATGTGAGACATATACACGCACAGTCTCTTGTTGCTTTGTTTTCTAAGATGAGGTTGCTCTCTGTATCCCTGTCCCTGGAACTTGCTCTGTAGGTCAGGCTGTCCTTGAACTCAAGTTCCACCTGCCCCTGCCTCCAGAGTGCTGGATCAAAGGTGTATGCCACAACTACCCAGCAGGTAGAGTCTTTATATACATTATTTTTAAACTTGAAATTAAAAACCAATTCTCAAAATTTTGATATTTTTCCCTCCTCTCCTAATTCTTCCTGGATCCTCTCTACCTCCATATGCACCCAACTTTGTGCTGTTTTTCTCTCTCTCAAAACGGGCAAAAACAGAAACAAAAAGACATGAAAACAGGAGGGGGACTTGAGGGTGGGAGGGGACTAAGAGAGGGTGAGGGGCAAGGGCAGTAAGAATGCACTATGTACATATATGAATAATCTCTTTTTCTCTCAGTAGACAGACAAAAAGATGTTTAAGAATCAGACGAGGCTCTTTCAGAGTATCCTAAACACTGCAATAAGGAAGCCATCAAGTTTCTTAACCATGAGCAGAAACACAGCCATCAAGATTCTACTGAATGTTTGTTCTGAAGGAAGCCACCTCACACATTCCCAGACTATACAGACACGGGGAATGCATACAAGTCAAACTGTAGTGAGCTTGAGTAATTTGGGTTTGCTGTCCTATTTTAAAAGGCTGCCAAATGACAAGCTTTATGCTGCACAGAAACACTGCAGGGTTGTTAGCGAATACACAGAACAGCCTAAAACAAACCCTTTGCTCCTAAAAAGTCTCACAACAAATGGAATTCTGGAAACACTCATAAGAAAAGCCACCATGCCACTGTTTTACAGGAACATATGCAATAAAACCCACAACTTTCACAGGTCTGTTTTAAGACTCTGTAGGGTCCCAGCTGGTTAACTCTTCAAACCAGTGTTGTGGGGTTGATCTCAAACAGGAAAGGGGCCGTGTGTCCACTGAATACAGCTTCACACAGGAGTACACCATCCCTTTTGTTGCTTGTACTGTATCCTATATACAAGTATCCCCCAAAATGTTTAAACACCAGGAAACGTGAACTTTCTGCTGAGAATAATAACTCCCCATTTGGCTTATTACTGTCAAAAATGATGGTGCATTAGAGGCAATTAATGCTAATGAAATCTTCCAAAACCCCTGCTTCTCCTGACAGCCAGCCTAGTGTCGATGGGTACTATTACAGGTTTCCACACGAACAACTGCAAATGCCCTCTGACCAATGTTGGCAGCTCTAAGGGGGAGCAAACAGGACTTACTGACCTGCTCTGAGGCTGTAAATGTGACTATTGCTGAAATTACATAGTACAGCTATACATATGGCAAGAATCAAAACACACATACATGTACACTGACACAAACGGACACACACCAAGTTCCAATGTGATAAAGTGGAAGAGAAGGTTTTTTTCTGCTGACCTATCCCTGGAAAGGGGCAGGACAGCACAGGCCTCATCCATTAAGGGTGGACGAGAGCTGCATGAACAACTACAAGAAAGTTTTTGTGCTTAGTTTTTCCAACAACTACAAAAACACTTGGACAAACAACAGACTTGACATTTCAAGAAGTGAAATGCCAAGTGTTGTAGCAACCCCCAGGGTATTATTACTGGATTATAGACAAAAATAGATTAATGGAACGGAATTTTGGGTCCAAAAATGAACCCTTAAATTTATGGCCAATTGAGTTTTGACAATGTCAAAAAAATTCAATGACCAAAGAACAGTCTGTCACAAATGGCACTTGGACAATTGGGTCTCCATGCCCAGAGGGAAGAGGTCAGAGACATACAAAACCATCTCAGAGCACATCAGAGACGTCAGGTTAAGAGCTTTTAAAAATATAAAATTCTTTAAAAAGCATCTCTCTGACTTTGGTTTAGAAAATGGTTTCTTATATAATATCTAAATCACAAGTGACAAAGAAAACAGATAAATTAAATTTAAATCTTTTGTGTTTAAAAAGACAGTATCAAGAAAAACTAAAGACAACATAAAGAGTAGGAGAGAATTTCTGTAAATCATGCATCTGAAAACGGAAATTATAGCCAAACGCTTCTAAGTCAAACATTTAAAAGAGAAGCATATGGAAGTAGAGGTATGTGGGGGTGGGGCTGGAGAGACGACTCAGCAGAGGACTGAGTTTGATTACTAGCACCCACATGGGCCAGACACCCATCTCTAGCTCCAGTTTCTGGGGATCCAATGCCCTCTTCTGACCTCTGTGGGAACTAGGCACACTTGGTGCACTTAGATATATGCAGGCAAAACACTCATACATAAAAATAAATCTTAAAAATAGACAGTGTTTAAGTATAAGTACAAAATATAAATAAACAACATGTTTTTTAGTCAGCCACAGAAATGAATAAAGCACTTAAATATGGTAAAACATGAACAAGTCATACACTAAATGAGAAAAAATTCCAGAGGCAGAAGTTAACCTATTGTGTGATTCCCAATCATATGAGCATCCTGAAGAGGCAAAACACAGAGAAAGTACATTTGCAGGTGCTGGGGCTGGGAACAGGAGAGACTGGAGTGGCTGCTAAGAGTCTGCTTTTACAGATGACCAAAGTGTTCTAGAACAGACAGCACTGTTTAGAGACAACTAAACATACACCAAGAATATCTAACTACACACTGATGATGAGTAAATTTCATGGGATTATAAGTTATATCTCAATAAAGTCACAGGGTGGGGGCAGGGAAGGGGGAGAGGTTGTGAGGGAGAACATGTCAAGTCCCCCCCTTTGAAGATTACCACACTGCAGCCTGTTCTAAACACCTAGAATGTGGGAAAAGACTCCTTTTCTTTCTCCAAGTAGTCTACCAACCATTGACCGATCAGAGCTCAGCTTCTAGCCACAGGAAGTTCCTACCCTAAAGAAAATGCAACACAACGGTGATACAATACGCTCAGTGCAGTTACCAAGAGGGCCTGAGGACTAGCACAGGAACAAATTAAAGTATCCTGAAGCTGTCAGGAGGAAACCGCTGAGAACTGCTGGAAGGAAACACTAGAGGAATTTTCCCCTGTGAGGTACTGTAAGTATTCTTCTTTTAACAAATCCAATTCTATTCATTTGTGTGTGTATGAGTATGGGTGTGCATGCCTCAGCAGATGTGCAGGGGTTGGAGAACAACCTGTAGGAACTGACTTTCTCCTTCCCGTCATGTCACCATTTTGCGAGCCTTAACACTTAAAAGATGGAAAAAGAGCAGGGCTGGGGCAAGGCACAGCCAGCATAACAACCCGAGTCTCTCTCAGTCCCCATACAAGCCCTGGCATGGAAGTACAAATCTGTAACACCAGCAGTGGGCAATTGTGTGGTATGTGCTCGTGTGTGTGTGTGTGTGTGTGTGTGTGTGTGCGCGCGCGCACGCGTGCGTGCAAGCGACAGGTAGGTCCCTGTTCCCCTATTCAGTGGATACTAGTCAGCTAGCTAAGCATAATGGCAAGCTCCAGATTCAGTGACAGGTTATGTCTTTTTGTGTGTGTTTCTTTTTTTCTCTTTTTTTTCTTTTTTTGGTTTTTTCGAGACAGGGTTTCTCTGTGTAGTCCTGGCTGTCCTGGAACTCACTCTGTAGACCAGGCTGGCCTCGAACTCAGAAATCCACCTGCCTCTGCCTCCCAAGTGCTGGGATTAAAGGCGTGCACCACCACCGCCCAGCCCGACAGGCTATGTCTTAAATGACAGAGAAATAGAGAGTGATAGAGAAAGACACCTAACGTGTACCTCTGTTCTCTATGCACATATATAACATATGAACATAGCTGCACATAGTGTACACATATGCATGCACCAAACACGTAACACTCTTCTGCTGTGTCTGAAGACAGCTACAGTGTGCTCATATACATGAAATAATAAAGAATTAAATCTTAAATACCACACCCACAATCTAGAAAAAAAAGCTTTAAAATTTGTGTACACTAAGAATCCATAAAGTAATGCTGAGAAGAAACCTGAAGTTTAGAAGTGCGGCTCAGGGGCTGGAGAGATGGCTCAGTGGTTAAGAGCACTGACTGTACTTCCAGAGGTCCTGAGTTCAAATCCCAGCAACCACATGGTGGCTCACAACCATCTGTAATGAGATCTGATGCCTTCTTCTGGTGTGTCTGAAGACAGCTACAGTGTATTCATATATAATAAATAAATCTTAAAAAAAAAAAAAAGAAGTGCGGCTCAGTGTCTAGAACATATGCTAGTCCTGAAGGCCAGTGAGAAGACAACTGAGAAAGCAGCAACGGACATACAATTCATAGAAAGGAAATCTAAGCCGCCCAGAAACCCTAAGAACAGCACTCAACTTCACAACAAACTAAAGAAAAACCACAACAAGGAAGACTCTAGACTACAGATCATAAACATGGGTGACGCCAACGGTGGAGAGAATACAGAGTAGTCGGCCGTGTCTAACAAAGCCAAGGATCCTGGAAGCTATTAGAGTGGGCTGTGCAGCATTAGTGAGGACGAGAAACAAACATGAGGGAAGGGAGCAAAAGCCTGAAGTTCGAGCCGAGCAACATTGCTAAACGGCCGTTTCCAAGGCACAGGAGGAGAAAGATGAGGTGGCAAGGAAAGCAGGGTTGCTCGGTAACCTTGTGTGATGCTGCAAATAAGGTCTCTTAAAGGAAACTATGATAAAATATTCTGAAATGTAAAGGTTCAAGATACACAATAAATTAATTTCTACCCAAATTATGTTCTAGTGAGTGGATTAGATCGGCGGTCTGTGCCCAAAAGGTCAGACATGAGGCAATGCCTGGAGTTTCAGAAAACATCTTCCATTTTGCTAAATTTCAAAATAAGTATCTACCCAGGAAAGGTCAAACCTTCTAGCTGCCTATTCCTTTTATTTAAAGAGAATGTCAAAGGTGTGCAGCTGAGGATATCTTCAAAGGCAAATCAGGACGACGAGAGGATCAAAGTAAGTGACTTTCAGATCATAGCATATGGTCAGGTCCACATCCACACCACACCACACCACACCACAGCTCATTATAGAAACTACACTGGAAAACTAAATGAAGGAGAAAGGGCAGTTTATGTTTCTTACAGCAGTATCCAATAAATAAACACAGATGGGATGAAAGAGACAAGCCTAAACAGAAGGCAGCCCTTGCTTAATGCCCCAGAACAAAGCAGACAGAGGCAGGAGTCACTTTAGCCTGGGCATGAAAGTCAATATATCAAATGACGGAGGCTTTGGTCATTTAAGATATATTAACGTAGCAATAGGGGTACAAGAAAAGCACCTACCTCTACAGTGTTTGCAATGTAACGGCTGTCACCTTCAACTCTGACAGAGAAGTCATAGTAGCCACTGGAAAGTTTGACATTCTTGAAGTTTAGCTCAAAAACATCCCTGTTGGGAGTGAGGAGAACATTAGCAAGAACTCAAGAGAAGTCCTGAGTGCATCAAACTGACTAGAAGAACATCCTCACCACAGTTTGGGTCTCCTACTCTCCGTCACCTCCCTGTACCACTCGGTAGTCACCAGCTCAGCCACAAATTAGTGTGGAAAACAAAAACCATCCAGGATGTACAGTGTTCTGTTTCCTCTCAGGTCCTCAAAGCCCCAACCCTGCAGCGTCCTCCTCTAAGGTGGTATACTACAGGCAGGTCTGCAGGCTGACTCCAGGATGGAATCCCAGGCCCAGGGCATGCGGCCCGTGCTTGACTACTGCACTTCTGCCTTATTGTGCTTATCAACCAAGCCATCCAACGAAATACCTCCAAGTGTCCAAAGATGCTGGTGTGGGGGAGTAGGGTTGTGTATAATCTTTTAATATTCTGTTTTTCAATTTACAAATGCTGTTTCTGTTGTAACCATCAGAAGGATTCCAGTGACTTTTAGAGACAAGTTCACCTCGTCATTTGATGTCTATAGCAGGGAAACCTATGAGCAGATCAGTGGTGGAGAGATGGAAAAGAAAGAGAAGCAGATACACAACGAAAAGAAGCAAAACTGGAGACTCAATGGTAGTGAAGAACAACCTAATGGGGGAGATGCCACGTAAGGCCATTGTGAGGTCCTGGCCTGTGCTGCCATGGTGGGCCAGGGTCTGGGTCCATGGCCCTGAGTAGACGGGGACTGTTAACACTAAAGGCCATGCAGATGTCCCTAGTCTGGGCTGCCAACCTGGAGCCATGCTGATATCTGAGGGCATTGCAGTGCTAGCTACACCCCTCACTTGGACAGAACCAGACAGCTGGCCCTGATGGTGTGAGCATGGGAGAGCTGTCAGGCTGACCAACTGAGCTACTACCCAGGCCCAGATCCAAGGCTTTGAATTGGTTCAGCCCAACATCCACCCCATCTATGAACAGCTGGAGTGTGTGAAGGGGCCGGTCCTGCAGAACCAAAGCTGCAGGATCTCCATGACACAGGATAGCAACAACAGGATATCCAAGAGGAGTCTCAGTGAGGATCCAGTACTGACAGTGTAGCAGAAGCCAGAGGCCTCAAGCCAGACCAATGACTCAATGACACGAACAATTGCAAGAAAAGATGTTTGGGCAAAAGAGTATACTTTGGGACACACTGTGACACACTACAACTTCCACAGTGAGGTTTTTTTGTTTGTTCATTTGTTTTCTTTTGTGGAGAGGATGCTAGGGCAGAGGGTGGATATAGAGAGACAGGGAGATGAATGGGATTCAGGTACATGATGTGAAATTCACAAAAGAATTAATAAAAAGTTAAGAAATTAAATTTGTTTGTCCTGGGAAAGTACCCCCATGACTCTGTTTTATACTGGTTGAAAGTTAACTCTCCAAAGCACAAAGCTTGTGCCCTGAACAGATCTTCAAGTCCTAGACTTACCCCACAAGTGAGAAGGGCATCTTCTGCAGGACAGTAGCTCTGGAAGCCACAGACTTAGCATGCTCCAGCTTAACTGCAGCTTGAGCCAGAGGCTGAGACAAAACATTGCTGACTTGCAACTAGAAAGTCAAAACAAAACAAAACACAAATGAATACAACAAAGGCCCCAGGAGTAGGAATTTGGTGTGTGGGGCACTTTAACTACAGGAAGGCAGCTCTGCACAACTAGCACCTTTCTCCTGGAATGTGCACTGATGTGGTCTGCTGCCTACCAGAGACCAAATGTGAGGACAGAACAGATGACAGAATGCTACAGCTACAGATGACCCTGCCAACCATCTCAGGAGGAAACCAGAGAACAGAGTGTGCATGTGAGTGGCTGGCCCCAATCCTTTACTTTCACAGTACAGTACGAGGCATCCCATCAACTGCTGAAGGCAGACAGCATAATTCATAATTTATAGGTAAAGAAACTGAGACTGTGAGAATTTCCGGAGGTTACAGATTGCCAAAGGCCACATGGTCAATTAAGAGGTCAGGTCAGGATTCAACATCTTAGTGTTGAACGTACACGCATGGATCTGGCTTCAAAGACAGTATTTCCCTACCATGATCTCTAAATCCCACTTGAACTCACAGAATTTTGTTAGAGAGGTTGTAAGACACAAGTTGTACTAAGGGAGACAGACAATTCTGAAACATGGGGAACCTTAGCAGGTTATCAAAATCAAACTTATAGGACAGATGGAACTGTCCCGTGTGGAACCCCAACACGAACATAAACAAAATTCTGACTCTATTAGAGATCTGAGTTTATCAGTGGTTTAAGAAAACAGCAATGAATGCTTTATTTGAGATGAAAACTTCTAGAAGCTAGAAGAGAACATCAGATCCCTGGGGACTAGAGTTATAGGTGGTTGTGAACTGCTAGGTTGGGTGCTGGAAAATAAACTCCAGTCCACTGCAAGGGCAGCAGTGCTCTTAACTAGTGAGGCATCTATTCAGCCCCACTTCTTTTTAATAGCTTTGAAAGCATTTGTGCCTAGCTCTGCATGTATATTGGCATATCCTCATGGGGACTACAACCGGCTCTATACCACATCTCAAAGTCTTGCTCTTGAAATAGCATGAGAATGGCAGGGGGGTCATACCCACCCGCAGGATAGCCTGTTCTTGAGTGTCAGAAGCAGAGCCCTCAGGCACAACCACCACTGGTACATGGTAGCGATTCTGGGACAATGCAGCAGCAGCAGAGGCCACACTGAAGGCTTCTGAGAGGGACTCAAAGTTCTTCTTGCTGAAGATTGTGTTCATGAGCTGGATGACTTGATCCTGAGAGCAAAGGGAAACAAGGCTCAGATCCTGCAGGAGTTAGAGGACCTCCCCATCCCTACACCAGTCCTTGTGTGTCAGTACATCCAACATTAATCCAAATGAGGAATTAAAGGGGAATAAATCCTGCATTTAAACTACAATTTGAGCTTGACAGTTTTTAATATAACCTATTATAAACAGAAATTCACCCATTTATTTGTTCATCCTGTAATGACAAGTTAGTATACAAATGCAAACTATCCCAGGTAACTACTGAGATATGGAAGCAGAGGCTAAAATTCATGTAACTACAACCACCTGTTAAACCATGATAGTTGCTTTACAAGAACCACCTCAAATCACCTCAGCCTCCACAGATTGATAACTATCAATGCTCTCTAAATATGGGAACTGAGGATAAAGCATGCTAAGTTATAACACAGAAAGGAGGAAAGGACGAGAAAAGGCAAGAAAAATGTTTGTCCCAGAACTCTGCCACAAAAGTTCTGTTCTTCCCTAATTGTCAAAATCCTCTCAGCTAGACTGTCTTTCTTCCTAACCACTCTATGAGCAATACACTGGGCTAAGTCTGCATTCATAAGGGCACATTTTATGGTCAAAGTGTGTATTAGAAAGAAACTAAAATTACACTCTCCACCAAGAACCCAGAGGCTGCATAAAGGAGAAAAATGAAAGGCAATTTTAAAACAAGTGGACCTAAAAGGCATGATTACAATTCTGGAGGCTGTTTGCTTAGGAGGAAACATTTCCTACTTCAATCAGTTTTGTTTTTTAAAATCTACCATCTAACAAAAGAGTTCCCTTCTTCCTGACAGCGTTATTCACAGTCGACATGAAATAATTTTCTGTAATTGTACCAATTACATTTTTCCATCAGTAGGCTGTTGACATGTTAAAATGGGTGACTGTTCACCAAAATTGTTATGTCAAAAGCAGTGACAGCAAAATTACTCTGGCCAAATACCTGGTTAGTAACAGCTTGTGAATAAAACAAGAAAAAGTTTAAGTTGTATATGTAGAGTCAGCAGTCCATCTGTCTCAAAGTATACAGAAATGAAGAGAAAGGCTGATATTTCTAGCACTCCTACACTTAGGAAGAAGGAATGGACACAATAAGAATGCAGAGATATGAACAAAGCATTAGAAAATGAATTCTAGCTACCCAAGAGAGATGTCACTTGCTGGTTATATAAAGACATTTGCATAATGCATTAAAATAATTTGTCTTAGCTTTACATTCAAATCTTTCCTCTAAAACTTTAAGTAACAGATCTTGTATTTTAAGTACTTGAGACCAAAGGTTGGTAACCTCATACATAGGGGACAGAGAGGTTTTACTTAAAAATATATATCACACATACTTTAACTTAGATCGTTCAGGTTATCAAGCTCTTCTTAAAAATAAGCAAGCAAGCAAGCAAACAAACAAAAAAAGAAACCCACACAATTTTTAGCAGTATCTGGAAGACACTCATGCTTCTCATGGGAACAGCTTGAAGAACTCCATCTACCAGATAAGATTATCTGAATTAGTTGCTAATGAGGATGAATGGAAGAAGGGAGAAGAGGCAATTCTGAGTTCAGGGCACTTCATGCCGAAAGAAAACCAAAAAGCATCCAACAGTCAAGCAGGAAGGGTTGTCAGAAGAAGGAAGGAGAGCAAGCCAGGGTGATACATTTGACTCTGCCCCTACTAATGATATGCAAGTGTCTTGCATAAACAGGCATGACTATTTACACGCCTGTCACATTGACTAGCAGCTTCTTAGTACAGGCATTAATACCTTTCTATTTCTCATTCTTTAAAACTTACGTCATGAATAACCACACCCTGAGGTGTGCTCTGAACACCCTTCTCTGGAAAGAGCTACTCTTGGTAACTTAGCAATGCCTTTGAGTTCCATGCTTGACAATCATTAGACATGTACCTCCTTCATGGATGGTTCAGTCCCCACATGGTCCATGAGCTTGTAGGTGGCAGCAACAAACAACGCTGTGAGTTCCAGTCCTTCCTCAAACTGCAGATACATACCTCCTAGTTCGTCCAGACGAGCAACAAGGTCCTGTCACAAAAAAGAGGCATGTTGGGACACAGAGATCATAGAAATAAGATACAAAAAGCACCGTGACTCCAGAGAGCTGGCCTTTCTGAAGAGTCTCATTGAGCCTAGAGACCACCTAAGCTAAGCCACTTAGTATTTTCTACAAACATAAATAAAAAGTATTTGAGCACACCGGCAGAGTCTCTGGCAGCTTTGGCAGCATGCCTCTTCTATTCCCCTGCACTCCTGTCCAACCCTACGGGCCACGGCACTGAAGCAGCCGCTAGTTTGAGCAGAACAGTGATCCCAGCTGCAAATCTGCCAGAAAGCATCACAATGCACACGGAGCCATAGCCATGCACTTGGACAGCGCCTATGAAGTGCAGCACTTCTCCTCAGTCCACGGCTCTCCCCAAGGAACAGAATGAAGCAGCTACTGTGCCCGTGAAGCATACATCAATGACACTGGCAGAACTGCCTTCCATCACTGGCTATACAATTTTTGAGGGTGGCCCAAGGAACAAAGTATCCTGAATATAGGACTGAGCAATAGTAAAATATGCGAGCCAGGTATGGTAGCACACACTTAAAATCCCAGCACTCAGGAAGCAAGGCAGGAAGACGCCAACTTTAAGACCAGTAAGTGTTACATGATGAGACTGTCTCAACACCCAAATACCCACCAACAGTGGCCACTTAACAGGCAGCTAGTTAATATATGCAGGCTGTTTTAACCTTACAGGTTCCCACAAACAGCAAATGGAAACTGAGGCTCACAGCATCAAATACCGTACCTTCAATTACAAAGCAGTAACTGGCAGAAAAAAGTATTTGACTTTTGGATTTATTGATTCCATAACCTGTGGCCAGTATTGGTCTAACAAATATTCCCTAGGATATATTACTTAAATACAAACAAAAGCATATTGGACTCAATAGCCATGAATGTAAAATATACACAGCTGGTTGTGTTATGTCTTCTTGCAAGAAAAGACAGGAGCTCAGAGACTCTGGAGAAACAGATTCATACCTCAATCTCCTCTACAATGTTCCTCAGGTCAGCCTGCTGGGATAGGTGGGATGCTGTCTGCAGAGCCTGGACTGTTCTGGAAGGTAAAAGAGCAGAACACGAAGACTAAGATTTAACGCATAGGAAGGCATCCTCCTCTGTTTTATAAATGTATTACGCTAGCCCGAAACTGGCTGCTTGTCAGTCATCTGTCTGTCTTACTCAAGGCTAAAGAAATACATTTGTAAATTGTTGGGCAGAAGTTGGAGCAACTTTTCTAAAACTAAAGCACACAAGGAAAAGATTTGGTGCTTACATTACCACCTGTGCTACCAGCATCCTGATGCAAGGTCTGTAAGTGACACTTCCTCAGGCACACAGGGCAGAAAAGGCACAGACAGTCTAAACCTAGTCTTATTTTCTTCTAACATTTATTTAGTATTCACTGTATAAGAATACATGTATAATACTACTTCTTATCAGCAATGACTTTATACTACCTACATGTATCAGTATGTACTCAATTTTTAAAACTTCATTACTTTATTTTTGCAGGTGGCCTCAAACTTGCTAATGATGACCTTAAATTCCTGGTCCTCCTGCCTCTGTTTCCTGAGTGTTAGGATCACAGGTAGACACCACATACCTGTTTTATGTAGTACTGGGATTAAATCCAGGAGTTCAAACATGCTGTGAAAGCATTCCATCCACTACAGCCTTTCAACAGTATTCTACCATCTAAGCTACATAATCTCAAATTCAAAATAAAGTGAATTCAATGGTACTTACTATAGTCACAATGTCCAACCACCATCTGTTTATGTACAGAACATTTCTCTGAGTTCTAAATAAAGTCCTAGGGCATTAATTACTACTGGAACTACTAGAACAGTTCCTCTCCATGGTGTCCACCTCCGCCATCTCCCAGCAACACAATTCTACATACTTGTTTGCTCTGGATAGTCTTGTAAATGGAGTCACATAGCAGTTGTCTTGCTGGGATAGTGCTGAGCAGCAGTTTCTGGCTCTTGGGTACACCAGGCAAGCACTCTACCACTGGGGTATAGCCTCTAATATGGGACCTTTTACTTTTGGCTTTTGAGGCTCACCCATACTGTGGCACATATCAACACTTCATTCTTTATTTTTTACTCACATATTTTTATTAAGAGCATATTCTAGGGGCTAGAGAGACAGTTCAATGGTTAAAACCTCAGCTCTTCCAGAGGCCCTGACTTTTAATTCCCAGTAACCACATGGTGGCTCACAACCATCTGTAATGGGATCTGATGCCCTCTTCTGGTGTGTATCAACAGCGACAGTGCACTCACATACATAAAATAAATAAAATCTTAGGAAGAAGAAGGAGGAGGAAGAGGAGGAAGAGGAAGAAGAAGAGGAGGAGGAGGAAGAGGAAGAAGAGGAGGACAAGGAAGATGAAGACAAGGAAGAAGAGGAGGAGAAGGAAGAGGAGAAGAACATTTTAAAAAAAAGTATATTCTATAAGAAAAAAATTTTGTTGGGTATGTTGGTACACATCCTTAATTGCAGTCTTCTGGAGGCAGAGGCAGGTAGATGTCTGTGAGTTCAAGGCCAGCCTGGGCTATGTATCAAGGTTCAGGACAGATAGGACTATATAAAGACTCTGTCTCCAAAAAAAGAAAAACAAAGGTTGTCCTCTACTTCCACATGTGTGTCATGGAGCACATCCCCCCCCCACACACACACACACACTCTTACCAAAATAACAATGACAAGAAGACATTTTAAGGCGGAATGTGGCTATACACATGCACATGTCATTTCTTTAATTAGTTTTTTTTTTTCTTTTAATGCAGATCGTCTGGAGAGAGAACATAGAGAACCAGTTCTCGAGGTAAAATGAGGGCAGCTGAGGCCCCCTGGTGGTCAAATGGTCTGCAGCTACAGCACTGTAATTCCTAAGAGATAACTGAGCCCATGTGTTTTTTAAGTGTCAGGGAGTGTAGAGCAAGAATCTGTCTTCTTGTGTCGAGATCCTAACAATTTAGATCCTCACCATGGAAAGCTATTCTATTCTATTAAGATGATAAGTCAGAAAACGGAAGAGTCACAATGTAAGGAGAGAAGCCCCCTGAGCACTCAGCCACTCCTACAGGACCTTTTGGGTTGGTCTCTATGGTACTGGGCCTTGTGCATGGTAAGTGCTTTGCTCTCCGTTTCCAGCCCCGAGTCCCAGTGTTCTGAAAGGAGGAATTGGTACAATCGACCTGTTGAAACACTGTGAACAAAAGCAACATGGGGAGGAACGTTGACTTGGCTTCCATCTCCATTTCACCATCAAAGGAGATCTGGGCGGGGATTCAAACAGGCCAGGGACACAGTGAGTTCCGGCAGAGCAAGGGCTACACGGAGAAACCCAGTCTTGCAAAAATAACAGTAACGAAAAACCAAACAAACAGCCTGTGTCAAAACAACAATGTGGACTGCACCTGAGAAGCAACACCTCGATTAACCTCTCCTCTCCATACCCAATGCACACAAGCGTATCTGCACACACACAGTCTCACATGTGGGGTAAATCATTCCCACAAGGTGCCTTTTCTCAACTATGCCTTTTGCAGAGGACCAGAGTCGGATTTGTAGAATATGTTATCCCCTGAGAACTCCTTATGTGCCCAATAGATGCTGCTTCTCACAACACCCATGAATCCAGTAAGACCCTGATCTTCACAGAACCCCTAGTACCAACACTGCAAAAAACCTGGCCAAGCCTCACCACAAACTGCATGCAGCTCACTGCCCTCACCGTCCTTGCTCTAGCCTCCACTGTCCGTGTGAGATGGTGGGCTTGCACTGCCTCAGCCCTTGCCTTCTGCCTGAACAGCTTGAAGATATGTCTGTGTGAGTTCCACAAGGCCAAGGGCCAGACCTTGCTGCCTTAATTCAAGTGCCAGTCACTGAGACTGGGGAAATGGCTTAGTTGGCACATGTCTGCCATGCAGGTGTAATGAGTTCAGACTCCTGGTACCCATGTAAAAGATGAAGGCAGTGTGTCTATAACCCCAGTACTAGCAGGAGGACTTTTGGAGCTCATTAGCCAGCTTGTCTCAAAAAACAAGGTAGAATGCCTGGCATGATGGCACATGCCTGTAATTCTAGCACTTGGGAGGCAGAGGCAGGTAGATCTCTGTGAGTTCAAGGCCAACTGGGTCTGCATAGGGAGTTCCAGGATAGCCAGGTATACATAGTGAGACTCTGCCTAAAATCCAAAAAACAAAACCAAACCCAAGGTAGAAAGTGACTGAGGAAGATACTTACTATTAACCTCTGTCCTCCACTTACAAACACCTCCCCACCCCCTGATCCCCTACCCCACAACCACAATAGTGTCTGTCACATCTAGCAGAGCACCTGGCACACAGCAGATGTTTAGAAACACGCGCTGGAGAAATGAATGAACCTTCTTAGGTCAGTAACCAACACAAAAAAGCTCAAAACAATCTTCAAACTGACAACTTACGCCAGCACTGTCTCCTCCTTGCTGAGGCGAGCGGTAAGGGCACCAAGGGCTTCATGGGATGCCAAGGGAATCCCAAAACCACTGAGTGCTCCAACCGCATGGTAGATCTGGGCAACGGGGGAGTCTTCACTGACTGCTGCCAGAAGGAGCTCTTTGGTCTCATTTGAAACAGATATCTAGGAAAGGAAGTGCAGGCACAGAGTTGGAATAGGTTCCAGCAGTTTGTGAAAGGCATACCGACTGTGATAAGAGCACAGCTGCCAAGGCCACATCCACTCAGCACCCAGAATCAAGTGTTCGCAACATCAACACCACCTCTGTTCTGACTGGTTTTGTCAACTTGACACAAGCTAGAGTTACCTGGGAAAACAGAACCTCAATTGAGGACACGTCTCACTAAGACTGGCCTATATCTATAGTCAGGTCTATAGACCATTTTCTTGATTAAAAATTGATGTGGGGGTGCCCAGACCATTGTGGGTGGCATCTCCTCTGGGCAGGTGGTCCTGGGGTATATAAGAGAGCAGGCTGAGCAAGCCATGAGGAACAAGGTAAGCATCTATCTTCTATTGCCTCTTTTCCAGTTCCGGCCTTGAGTTCCTGCACTGACGACTTTTGAAGATAAACTGTGATGTGGAAGTGTAAGCCAAACAAATCCCCCTCACACACTCCAGTTGCTTTTGGTCATGGCATTTCATCACAGCAATAGAAACCTCCCAAAAGACAATGACATGTTGCTTGTCTACTTAAAATAATCTAGATCAAGTGAATGATCTAGAATCTGAGGTAAGGATGCACTGAATGTTTTTAAGTGTTAAAGGAGAAGGGAAAGAAAAACACAAGGCCTTCCAGAAGAGAGATAAGAACTGTAAGAAAAAGTGATCTAAAAGCTATTACAGTGAACACTTAAAGGGAAACAGACTTTCTTATAGGACTAAAATTATGTGGATGGAATTCTAGCCCACACCAACAGTTTGTTATTTATAAAAATTATATTAACAGTTTGACATTATGTTCCCTTTAAAAATGTTCTTTACTACAAACAAATAAACAAACAAACAAGCGGCAGTGTAGGAACCTGGGCTCACCTCACAGCCTGATAGGACCTGGCTGGACTGGGCAGCATAGAAGAGAGAATCCACGTTGCTGGGATCAAGGTTGGCCTTGATAAAGGTACACGCTTTCTAAACAAGGGAGAAAGTCAAAGGTAAGTGGTGGCATAATGCAGTAACTAGGAAAGGCGAAAGTGTAAGGCGCTAAATCAAATCCTAAACCATCTATGGAAGCTTAAAGTGTGGATTGCTCTAGATTTAGCTTTTTTCAATAGTTATTTTCCATAGGACACTACTGCCCCAAACTGCTGATTTCACACAAGGAACAGCAAGGCTGAAGTGGGTAGAAACCACTTAACAAATGTCCTGCTCTGGCAGACAGAAATGTCTGCTTCTGGTGTGTCTGATGATAGCAACAGTGTACTCACATACAATAAATAAATCTTTAAAAAAAAAAAAAACCCAAAAAACAAAAAACCGCATCTCTTCTTTCTGGCCCAGCTAGGCCCAAGCATCACCATGCATCTAACCACCCAAACCAGAGCTGGCAATTGTGGCTGACTCTTCCCTCCCCTGCAAGGCTACCCAGCCTGCTTCCTCTCCACTGATCCCTGGCTTGTCACCGCCCTAGGGCAGGTCCTTGTCATCTCTCACACTGTTGCAGCCCTCTTTGAACTGCTTCTAGGCATGCAATCTAATCTGTACAAAGGACCCATGCTGCTTTACTATTAAAGCCCTCATGGTCCCCAATCATGCCCAGAGAAGATCCAAAGTTGTCAACACAGCTCACAATGTCTGAGTGGCGTATCATCAGCAGGGCCACCTCTGACCCAGAATCTTATTCTCCTGCACTTCCCAGGTGAACAACTTTCCTGTCCTTGGATTACTCACCCCTTCCCCTATTTTCCTTGTCTCTCCTGTTCAGATGCACTTGTCCCATATGGCATTTCTTGATATTCATCCCATGATAGGCCACAGCCCACCCTTGCCCTATGTTTCCCAAAGCACTTGGCACAGGTAGTTAGTGCTGGCCAGAGAACATTGCTTCCATCACAGTAAGTGAGCACAAAATAAAATCCAACCACTTCTGTTCCACTCAACTACATGGGAGACAAGTTACACTGCTAAACACTAGAATCAGATAGTATAAAATAGTTGTCAGGAATGGTAGCACATACCATTGAATCCCAATAGTCAGAACACAGAGACAGGCTGTGAGTCTGAGACCAGCTTGGTCTAGATAGTGAGTTCCAGGATAGCCAGAGCTCTGTAGAGACTCTGTCTCAAAATAAAACAAAATAAAAAAACCTAAAACCTCAGATACTTAAAATTTTATGGCCAACCCAGGCAAAAGTGCCATGGTGCTTCTGGCACCTGGGATGCTGCTCAGAGATAGATGCTTGCCTAGCGTGCTTACATCCTGGAATCTGATCCTTCAATTACAGAGAAGAAAAGGTAGGGCCCTCTGGGAAATGCACTAGGGAGCAGGAGTGGGCGAACCAACCAGGACACTGCCTGGTGTCTTCCCCCAACAGTTAGGCTACAGTATGTCATGTCTCACTGGAGGCCTGGGTCACTCACACCAAAACAAATCCTCTTTAAAATGCTAGGAACAAAACTTAAGATCCTCAGAACCAATGAGTCTCAATTTTAGTGCAGTTTGAAAGAACCAGAGGGAAGGGAAAGAAAAGACTTCATCTCCTGTAAAGAAGGAAACTGGTTCTTTCCGGAAGGAAACTCTACACACAACAAAGACACTAAGAAGAGTTCTACTGCCCTCTGGTGCTTTGAAAAAGCAAAGACAGCATCGGGCCCCCACAGGTAAGGTATCTCTTCCCCACTTCAAATGTGTCCCACTTTCTGAGTGCTTCTTGGGGATTTCTTGTTTCATCCTCAAGCGACCCTACGCACAGATACTTTTACTGCCTTAAGTCCACAGAGAAGAAGACGACTGATCCGGAGAAGCAAAGCAGGGGAACCATAGTCATTCCTAAGTTGGGGAGCTCACCTTCAAAGCCCGACAGCCTGGCTGTACCCTCTACTACAGTGTAACTGTACAGTTAAGAGGCTACTAAAATGATCTGTTCTGGAGTAGATTCAGCATTGGACAGAAACAATTTACAGGAAAAATCAGGGTCAAGGGCAAGAATGTTCATGGTCTCAAAGTTCTTGATACCTGACAACATAGTCTAAGGGCAGTGGGAGTGGAGAAACTTCCTAACACCTGCTCAGGACTCTCAGTGAGTGCCCCTTTTCTGGCTCTTCTAGGGAATATGCGGCTCTAACTGTAGCTGCTCTCCACACTCCAGACATCTACCTTACCACTGGAGGCTGAGAACCACTCCACACATCCAGCACCTGCACACCCCAGCCCCTTGTGCCCTTTGTTAAAACCCCAAGGATCTCAATATCCTCTTGAGCAAAGAGCCCTGGGCTTTCTTCTACCTTTCTTCTTCTAGCCTCGAAATCTAATCAGATACCATCCCCTACATGGCTCTTTCCTGTCCGCCTTCTCCTTCACCTTGTCCCACATCAACTCTCAGACCTTCTTGCCTTCTCTCAGACCTCACACCATGCAGGTATATCTTTACCACTCAGCCCAGCTTCTGTACACACTGTCTACTGCACTTTCCAGTATCTCTGCTCCAACTGCCCTAAACACCAACTCCTAGCCGACACTTCAAGCACTAGTGAGCCCCACGCTTTATAGAGGCTCTGTTACCTCATCTGCTCAGTGGGTTAGCTCTCAAATGATAACCCATAATGCATTCAAAAAGTTCAAGTCTTACTTCAAACACACTCATTCATCCTTGTTTTTTGACCTGTCTTCTCTCTTCCCACGAAGTCCCAGCTAAATTCACACTTTCAGCCCTAATCAATGTCTCTTCAAGCTCACAACGCCAGCAAAGAACACCTTTAGAGGAATGTGTCCCTCAAATCCAAATCCGACAATTCACAATTGCTTCTATCCTTGGCAGAGACCTTTCATCCTTCATTCCCATCCTACTAAAATGTGATATTAATCTAACATCCCAACTTCATTTGCTACACTGGACAACACCAAACCTCTGTAGCTGCCACTGCACTACTGCATGTCACTCAAGTCGTCAACTCTTCCCTCAGGGACCCCCACACACTCTGAGGAAACAGGGCAGCATGGAAGCACTGCTATAGCACACCACAAACAGTGTCTGTGCTACACATTGTCTGAATTTGCCTGAGTCAATTATCAACAGGACAAAAATGTCTCAGTATTAAGAATGATAACCACAGCCACCCTAGGGTGTGTGTGTGGGGAAATCTGTGATTTCACTTCATACTACCAATGGACTAGTGAAGCGGGCTACATAACTCTCCTCCTTTCACAGAAAAGCTCAGGTGAACTGACTGATGCTGTGATCTTCCTTTCAGGCTGAAATAATTCACTTTAAGGAGTCACAAGGCCATGAGGAAAAGTCTGTTTCCTTTCTATAGTCACATACAAGAAGAAAGCACTGGGCAGAAACAAGGGATGACTATAAGGGGGAAATCTGAATAAACTGAATCCTAGACTGCAGGGATTAGCAAATGTTTCCTATAAAGGGCCAATTAGTCAGTATTTCAGGACTTGGAGCTAGACTGTCTAGAAACTACTCAGTATACTGTGAAGGCCCAGAAGCAGCAGTAGATGATATGTATACAAATGGGTATAGTTATATTTCAATAAATCCTCATTTACAAAAATAAGCTTCAGCACAGATGTGACTGTAGGACCAGTTCATCACCGCTCTGCATTCAGATCCACTGGCAGACAATCTCGATTAACCTCTTCTAGGTCTTCTTTCCTCCTCTTATGGGGAAATGTTTCTGACAACACAGACACATGCAGATAACTTAAAAGAAGATGCTCACACAAAGCTCTCAACAGATAATACTGATTACTGAGTCCAGCCCAGGATACAGTATATTATGCCAGAAAGCCAATAAGAACCATGTTTTTTTTTTTCTCCCTCGCTCCTTCTCCCCACCACACACACCTTAACTTGTTTGCACAAATATAACATTTTTAACACACACACACACACACACACACACACACACACACACACACGCAGGCACTGACCTGAATTGAAAGACACTGACAGGGACTCCCAGTTCTGGCCATGACAGAATTAACTTTACCTCTTCTACTAGTGTAGTGGCTATTCCTGGTTGTCAGTTTGACTATATCTGGAATGAACTACAATCCAGAATTGGAAGGCTCACCTGTGATCCTGATCTTGAGGCTGGGAGATACAAGTTTCTAACCTGGATCTTGGCATGGACATCTTGAGGTATAGTGGCTATGAATCCCAGGAGACTAAGGCAAGGAGATCTCTGAGTTCAAGTCATCTGGGACAGAACAAGTGCCAGATCTAGGCACAGTGGCACACACCTTTAATCTGGGCCACACCTTCTGCTGGAGGCCTACATAAGGACATTGGAAGAAGGAAGATTCTCTCTTCTTTGTGTGCTTGCCTTGTGGGACTGAGCAACTGCTAGATCCTTGGACTTGCATTCACAGCGGCTGCTGACCATTGTTGGACCACAGACTGTAAGTCATCAACACATTCCCTTACCATATAGAGACTACCCATAAGGTCTGTGACTCTAGAGAACGCTGACTAATTCAACTAGTAACTACAAAACTCGGCAAAATTGAGACAGACCCTAGATAATAGATAGTACCCACCGTGATACCCACCACCTCACTTTGAGACAGGGCTTTTTTCACACAGCCCCTGCTGGCCTGGAACTCACTATGTAGACCAGGCTGGCCTTAACTCAAGAGATCTCCCCGCCCCCGCCTCCCAAGCGCTGGGATTAAGGAGGTGCACCACCACGCCCAGCCACACTATGACTCCTGAGCAAGAAGGAAACAGGATAAACAATGAGCATCTGCGTGGAAACACGGAATCATCAAGCTTTGCTCTTTGTGATGTAGAGAATATCTCAAACACACTGACGAACCACGGACACACACCGTGATGAACAGCAGTGCTAGGATAGTGAGACCTATCTTCTCTGCCAGCAAAGGCTCCTGCTGCAAAGCCTGACAAACCGAGTTTGGCCTTTGTCACAGACACCCTGCAGGAGTTGGCTTCCTTCTTCCACCATGAGAGTCCTGGGAACTGACCCCACTAAGGCCATCAGATCTAGCAGCAGTGCCTTAACTCAGAGTCATTCTGTCACACAAATGGGTAGTGTTTAAAATCTCAATTTATGGTAATTTATTATGAAGTTTTACTAAGAAATACTCAGGAACAATGTTTTATCTTAATTGTCCATGATTCTGTAACGAATATACACACCTGTAGGTGTTCCTAAACCCAGAAAACATTTCAACTGCAATGTATCCTGCCTATGGAAAGTAAGATATGTCCACATTGCCCAACATCGCTACCACTGCTGATTAACACACAGGAGTCCTCTACCTCGAGCTCCCTATAAGTTGTCAGCCATGCACCTAGCGTTTTCAAGCACGTGTTGCACAGTTGGGGAGATAGCTCACTGGTTAAGAGTACTGGCTGCTCTTGCAGAGAGCCAGATTCAGTTCTAAGGCCCCAAATAGCCTCACAATCATCTGCAACTCCAATTTCAGGGAATCGGATGCCTTCTCCTGGGCTCTTGCACACAAAGCACACATACATGCAGGCAAAATACTCTTATACATAAAATAAATAAATCTAAAAATATTTAGAAGTACACAAACCAAATCCATGTTGCACTGTGCAGTTTCACAGAGTTCTAGACGTTTCTAAAGGCTCTGGCTGGCTCTCCTTTTCCCCAGAAACACCACATGCCCCTACACACATCAGATTGACAAAAATATCTGTTACATTAACCCAACTATCTTCACATCAGCAAGAGTTTGCTTTAGAGTGTCCAAGAGGAACACGGCCTAGAGATTGGGGTGTTCTGAAACACTGAACAGAAGAGAGGTGCTTTACTTTTACCTTGACATCTGGTACCTGCACCCCAAGGCTGTTGAGTCCCATGATGGAGTAGAAGGCAGACTCCAAATTTGTGAAAGGGCGATCCAGTGAGGCTTTCAGTCTTTCCACATCATGCTTAGTGAGGTAGTGGGTGGGGGTCAGAGCCTGGATGCTGGCTGTGACTGTCAGGACCAACAGGAAGGCAGCACTTGAACCTGAGGGAAACAACAATTAAGTACAACCACATTACTCCTTGTCACAGTCCCAACAATGATGCCTCAGGGCTGGGAGCCCAACCATGCAGAAATGGATGGAGAACACAGGTTTAGCCTTTAGAGGGGAATGGTGACCCCCACCTTCAACCACCAGGATAGTCTTTCATGAAAGCTCCAGGAATCTGAAGAACAAGACCACACCATTCCTATTTACAACTTCCCAGGACAGAACTAATCCTGAATCCTTGTATCTTGTTTGCTCAACCTCACGTCTTCCTCACCCACTCCAACAACTGACACTTTCTCCAATTTCAACTCTGCATAACTTGTTTCTTCAGGTTTCGGCTTAAGCATCTTTAAGAAGTTTCTTCAGAGGGGCTGAAGAAACGGCTCAGTGGATAAGAGCACTGACTGCTCTGCCAGAGGACTGGAGTGCAGTTCCCAGCAACCACATGGTGGCTCACAACTACCTATGATTCTAAATCTAAGTGATCTGATGCCCTCCTCTATCCTCCAAGGGCATCAGGCACACACATGGTACACCTTCATTCACATCAAAATAAAAATAAATAAATAAATAAATAAATAAATAAAAGCTTTCCCTGAATTAGATGAGTGTACAATGAAGAACCAGCCTAAGTGCTACACAGGAACTACAGCCAAGTTATCAGTTACTGTCGCAGCTTCCTCAGGCATGAAGCAGATGACAACGTGTCATCTCTGGGCCCGTTATAAGTTAAGGCACAGAGATTTTAGAATAGTGACTGGTACATAACAAGCACTATATGAAGTCGCAGCTGGTGCTTCCATTACTGTGAGTGATGCCGTAGCCACTCGGCACTCTCTACCCTGAACCTAACAGCATCTTCCACTACTAAGAGTGTGAGGGCTGATTCCTCTGCTAAAAATGATCAGCTCCTGGAGGGTGAAGACTATTTCTCATGATTCTATCAGTATTCCAAGTCCTACAGGCTGCCAGGCACATGGTATGTGTGAATAAATACAACTAAATGGATAGAAAAACCAGTCCTGTCTGTGATGCCCTAGGGGACTGGAAGAAATTGTAGGAATGGCATCTGTCTTTCATTAAAAATAAAAGAGGGTATTTTTGAATAGGCTGTGTCATGAAAAAGTGAATCATCTGTCATCCAAGTTAAAAGCATTAAAAAGCAATTATAAGGCTAACATCAATGGTCCTAAATCCTTTGCCTACGCCAGTATGTGTAGAGGTGGTAGTTTAGCGTAGAACTCATACCCTGGGTTTGGTACATAGTACCTCTAAGCCCCTAACCCTAAACTAAAGAGCAAAGAGCTCTGCAATATGCAGTATCCATCCATATACTGAATGCTCCAGTTCCGTTTGAATTAGAATTCCTTATAGACATTTCTTTACAAAGAAAACTAAGGACTACAGTAGCTTACTCGTGACCAATCTTGGACTCAAACCCAGTAAGCACTACAAACTTCACACTCCACTTAAAACCTTAACCTCAGGAGTCATCTTGACAGACCCCTACTTCTTTTTGTCTGTCTTTATTTCTCTTTCTTTCTTTCTTTCTTTCTTTCTTTCTTTCTTTTTTTTTTTCTTCTGAGAATGTTGAAGAGATGCATAACTCAGAATCACTCCTCTATGGTCAGTAGTTTCATTTAAGTCTTGGTGTGTCTGTCAACCTAAATGTAAAAACTCTTCAAAAAACTAAAGGCCAGTATACAAAGAGATGGTGGCTTAGCATAGAATTTGTACCTGGGACTGGTGCATAGTACCTCTAAGCTCCTAACTCTAAACTAAAAAGCAAAGAGCTCTACAATGTGCAGTATCCATCCATATACTGAATGCTCCAGTGCGCCCTGGACTTGTTTTTCCTTCAGTTCTGGGAACTGAACCCAAGAACTATTTTAGAAACATACAGCTAGGAAACCTCCATTCCCAAACAGATTACATTCTAGTTTAAAAAAAAAAAAAGTTAAGAACCATGATTTATCACATTGGAAAGCAGAGGCACTGGAGAGAAAATAAAGCACAGAATGTGTATCTTTGGGAGGAATGTGTTTTGTATGCCATGATCTGTCAAGGTCCCTGGAAACAGAGAACACCATGAAGTTATGACATTATGTGAGGATAAACTGTAACAAGAAAACTAGACACAGACAGAATCAGGAACTTCTATGGTAACAGGTAGCAGAATGCAATCCAAAGGGCCTTTAGGCAACTGAAAGGGCTCAGGTGTTTACTGAGCAGAAGGGGACCACAGCAAAGTTCTGAGGAGGGAAGCAATTTGACAAGTATTTTAACAGGATTGCTTTGCTGACGATGATACTGTGCCATGCTAGCCTAAGTAGAGGTGAAGACAGGTGGCCGAGGGAAGGGAGGAGCTACTCAGGAGGATGCTGCCAAGGTCCAAGTACACAGAGAACTGCAAAATCCCCAGTGACCAGTGGGCAATCAGGGACTTGATACAGTGAATGACAGTGACCACTGCTCCTGACAGCCTCTGTGCCAGAATCTGAATCTTTCTACAACTTAAGCACAGTAGCAACCTTTCTGGCTAATACTTGAACACTCAATTGATGGGTAGGCCCAAATTATACTGAATTCTTCGAATGCACCGCAGTAGTCTTTAAGCCTACTAATAGCCAAGTGAGGTGGGTATTTTCTGCATTTTACAAACCAAGAAATGGATCGTAAACCATTTCATACCTGTCACTTCAGAACTGGGGAAAAAGAGGCAAGATGGTGGTGGGTCTGAGCTGGAGTCCCAGCTACATAGTAAGACCCTACTGTGTATTGTGGTACATGCACATAAGTGTAAGTCAGTGTACATACATGCAGAGGCCAGAGTAAACACAGGAGGACTTCCTCTGTTGCTTTATGCTTTCTTGCTCTGAGGCAGGACCTTTTCACTTAACTATAATCATTCTGGCTAGACTAGATGGTTGCCTCTTGGGATATGCTCGTCTCTGTCCTCCAATGCTGGGGCTAGATCCACATACAGCCAGCCATACCCAGTGCTAAGATTTAAACTCAGATCCACAAGTTGCACTGAACCATCTCCCAGCCCCCTAGGCCCTATCTAAATAAAAGAAAAAAAAAATTAAGGTTCTTAAGTGGGTATTTATCTCTGCCCTAAGACACATAACTAAGTCTCAAACTTCAGACAGTTTCAATACAAGTTCTGACTTTAACCACTTTAGCAACAAATCAAGTCGTGAAATGGCAAGCTTTGTTCACTGCGGTCCCACAGTCGAGGGATTACAACAACTAACCGGCCAGCGAGAGTAAGATAGACACCCAAATAGTCCTTTTAAAAAAGAATACACTAAGATTCCGACCTATCCGCTCAGAATCTACCAAGCACTGAATTTTTCCCGGCACTGTTAAAAACAAGCACAGAAATATCATTTAACACAACTCGTACAAAGCAGATACCAGATGAGAAACTAAGGTGTTGAGTCCCTGGTTCCTGTTCTCACAGTCAATACGTGGCCGGTTACAAGTGATACTAAGGACTATCACTTCATACCCTAAGCTTTAGGCTCCTAGACAGACCTGTGAGTCTCCTGTCCCTGTCAGGGAAAAAGAACCTAGAGCTCGAAGAAAGTCCAGTGACATACTCAAAAGCTTTCACGATGCCGGGGTGGCTCCCTGACAGGCCTTAGGCCGCCGGTACTACTCGAATGAATGGAGGAGGCCAGGCACGGGATCCGCGCTGCCCCGGCTCGCGCTGGGCCTTGCGGGGACCCGTAGCCACACGTTGCACGCCCCACCACCAACCCTTCGGGTCCCCGGCACTTCACCAGCTCGCAGCCCTCCGCCACACGCTCGACCTCGAAAGCGCCCGAGCCCATGCCCCTGCCCCGTAGGGGAGGGGAACCGCGCCTAGCCGGCGCCCGTGTTGTCCGCACTAGCCTCCCGCGGGCGACGCCCCGCTCCCCAAAGCGTGTCGGCCGCGGGGCCCCACTGTTGAGCCATGCGCAACGCCTCACCCGGCGGCGCCATTCCTCCGAGCAGGTCCCACCGGAGCCCGATCAGGCAGACTTCCGCTCCGGGAAGTGGCTCCAAGAGCGCGCCGGAGGGGACGCCAGGGACCCGCGGCAGACGCCACTTGCCAGAATGGGCTCCCGGCAAAGGTCAGTCGCGGCGGTCCCGTTTGGCAGGGCCGTCCCCAGCAGCCGCGGTGAGGGGGAGTTCAATTGCGGCGTACGAACCGCACTCACGGTTCTTGCTTGCCGACCCGCCCTCTCCCCCGCGCCGGGACCCACTTGGAACCGACCGCCTCTCAACCGCCCTGCTCACGCCGTCACCCGGACGCGATTGGACCGGGCCTTGGGGCGGGCCTCAGACGGGGCCACCTCTGATTGGCCAGTGCCAGTGACTGGCCGGACGCGCTGTCACTCACTGGTCTCTCCCACAGCCCGGCCAATTTTAAAGCCACGAAAAGGGTCCGGTTGGGAGGGGAGCGTTATAGTGACATGATTTTATCCACTTTAAGAAATTATGGTTAAAGGATTTCTTAGATTGTTTATTACTGGCTAGTGAGTGAGGTTGTATCCAGTTTTTAAACCTGTGAGCTATAACAGGTAACGGAGAGGAGCGTTTTAAAATGTTTTATTTTTTGAGAATTTCATACAATATATTTTGATCATATTCATTTCCTTGCCCCAACACCCTACACACTCAACCCATGCTCTGTTTTTCTCTTTCTAAAATAATAAAAAAAACAAACCAAGCATGGAATCCTGCCCTGGACGGGTGGTTGATCTACCCAGCCACTCCATTGAGGAAAGCTGACTTCTCCTCTCCCAGCAGCTATCAGTTATGAATAGTTCTTGGCTAGGGGTGGGTCTTTTCTTCCCACTCCCCCTCCTCTGTGTTGTGTATGGCTTGAGCTTCTGCGGGTCTTGTGCATACTGACGCAATCTCTGAAAAAAAAAAATGCTTATTTGAAGCCATTTACCACCCCTGGCTCTTACAATCCTTCTGCTCCTCTTCCACATAGATCACACCCACGAGCCGAGCCCTGAGGTAAAGGGTATGCTATAGACATCTCATTTATGGCCGAGTTTTCAGAGATCTCTTATTCTCTGTGTGTTGATGAGTTTTGGGCCTCTGTGTTAATTGCTGTCTACTCCAAGAAGAAGCTTCTCTGATGAGGGTTGAGGGATGCACTGATCTGCAAATTTAACAGAATCAAAAATGGAAGCCAGGACTGATGTGTAGCTCTGATTACTGAGAAGTTACAATACAGATGGGAAGAGTACCAAGCATTCTACATACATTATTTTATTTACTCTTTATTATTATTCTGTGAAGTGTTACTTTTAGTACTTTAAGAGGAAGGAACTATTTCAGCCCATGCATTCAGATGACAGCCTTGATGTCTGATGATTAACTATTGTGAGCATGTAGAGTTTCACAATATAGTAATGCGTCTTTTCTTTAGTATTGCTCCAAACATTATTCAGCTCTGTAGGGGAGAGTTAGATCACACTCCTCCATACAGTAGTCATTAGCCCTATGCAGTTATTTCTCCTTGAACCTGATCGAATTAAGTAAAATATAAACTTCAGCTCCTCAGCTATGATATGTTTCAAATGCTCACTAGCTCAGTCAGGGTAGCCGATGGATCTTGTACTGGGTAATTTGAAACAGATATTTTCATTATCCCAGGAAGTGATACTGGGTAGTGCCAAACTAGAATACACTTAAAGAACCCTACCAATTCAGTAATAAGACAAGCCAGTGGTGTGCTAGAGAGAGAGCCAGCTGGTAAGTTTTTTTAAATTTTGCAAATTGATTAAATATAGCTATTTAGGACATTTAAATTATGCAGCCATAAAGTGAAAGAAAATATGCTGAAAAGTAAACTCTTCATTTCCTGCTCTCATTACATTTTATCATTGTCTCAGCATTTGTCTTGTCATTGTCTAGATGTATGTAATGCTTCACTGTTGGAGACTGGTTCTAATTCTTTGATTCAATCAGAAAGCTGCATGTTCAAATGCTAAAGGTCCTTGTCCCCAATTGGTTTTTTGATCAATCAATAAGGATGCCAGTGGCCAATGGCTGGGCAAAGGGAGACAGGGTGGGACCCTTAAAGTTCCTTGGGCTAGGACGCAGGCACACAGAGGATTGCCAGGATGTGGTGGGGAAGAGGAGAGCTACAGGAGAGAGAGCCAACAAGCCATAAAGGACTCGGGTGGGTGGCCACTGGCCACTTTCCCAATTGGGCCTGTGGTAGGAGGGGATGGTTTAGGTGTGCCCAACCTTTGAAGTAGCCAAGGCATTTTAAAAATAAGCTAATGTGTGTGTGTGCCTTTTTTTTTTTTTTAAATAAAAGATTTAAGTATTCTATGTACTTGAGTGTTCTGTCTTCAGACACACCAGGAGAGGGCACCAGATCCCATGACATGTGGGTGCTGGGAATTGAACTCAAGGCCTCTGGGAGAGCAGGCATTGTTCTTAACCACTGAGCCATCTCTTGCGGATCCAAAGATAGCTCCTGAGTGGGTAAGCTCATGTAATCTACCCCAGGATCCAAAGCAATGTAGCCAGAAGTCACCACGACACCTGACTACTGGATGTGATATGTAACCAGTCTTTTCTACCCTTGCCTGTTCCCAGATAATGACTCTAAGACGTAATTATTTATGAACAAATGCCTAGGCCATAAGCTTGGATTAGCTCACTGACTAGCTCATAACTTATATAACCCATTTATTCTATTCTACCTCACCTCAATTTCATACGCCTGTCTCCTCAGAGTCTGGGTGGCAAAACTCCCTGTGTCTGACTAACTCCCAGAGATCCTATCTCTCAATCAGAATTCCCACTTCTTATTTCCTGTCTTTTTTTTAATAGACCATCAGCTTTTTATTGGTGCTTCCACACAGTGCACAAGAGATTCCCTCTACTGAGATAAGAGAGAATATCTACCACTACATAGTTTGTTTCCAAGGGAAACATTTGTAGCTTGATTTCTGGCCATGATTTTGGAATATTTACACTATGAAATTGGCAAATATGGCAAAGCAAGCTTGATTTATTGTTTCATTGATTATCTAAACCTAATGAAGGAAGAAAGGTTAATAGAAATTAACTTTTAAAATGTGTCACAGCTAGTTTGGTGGTACACGCCTGTGATGCCCGACATTTATGAAACAGTGGCAGTTGGACATAATGAGTTTGCTACCAGCTGTCAAAGTGTTATGTCTGCAAGATTTACATTGTGACTAGTTTGACCTCACCTTCATTGTTGCAGTTATGTCTTTCCTATTGGTGTAGATGAAAAGAGCCATCAGCGTTCACTTAAGAATTACATTTAGGTCTGGGCTCAGTGGTAGAGCACTTGCCTTATATGCCTTGGACCCAGGGTTAGATCCCTAGCACTGAAGAAAAAGGAAACACACTGGGTGTTTGTTTGTTTTTAACAAAATCTCAGTTGTTCAATTTTACCAATGAAGACTCGGGGAGCCAAATGCTGGGGTGAAAGCCTACTGACTCAGAGAGGCAGAGAAAGCACTTTCCTCCTTAGGTGACTTTCCAGCAGGAATGCTCCTCTCTAAAAACAAAACCTTCTTTAAACTGAATGTCCGTCCTTTCTACTTCCTGTCTCTCTCTCTCTCTCTCTCTATCTGGCCTCCCGACTCCTTACCCTTACTATGTTTTTTTTTTCTTTTTTTTTTTAAGATTAATTTATTTTTGTTGCCTATGCAGTGTTCTGCCTGCATGTATGCCTATGTGCCAGAAGAGGGCATCAGATCCCATTACAGATGGCTGTGAGCCACCATAGGATGGCTGGGGATCAAACTCAGGACCTCTGGAAGAGCAGTCAATGCCCTTAACCTCTGAGCCATCTCTCCAGCCATCTATTTTTTTTTCTTAATAATCCTATGTCCACTTCCTGTCAACTGGTTGCTTGCTCCACTTCTTGGATTTATTTAATTGTGTTTATAATATTCAAGCAGAAAGATCTCGGATTAAAGATGAATGCTAAGCCTGAGCCACACCACAGCTGAAAACAGGTTTTCCCAGTAAATAACAGAATCTCAGGAATCACAGTGTGATCAAATATTCTGCAACAAGATACATGCTCACACGCATGTATACACATGCACACACAAAATCAAGCTACATTTGGAGAATTTGTTGCTGAAACATATACCAACAGCTAGGTATGGTAGTTGATGCCTTTAGTCCCAGTGCTTGGGAGGCAGATTTTTGTGATTTTGAGGGCAGCCTGAGCTACATGGTGAATTTCAGGACAGCGAGGACTACATAGTGAGACCCTGTCTCAGAAAACAACAACAACAAAAAAATATTTTTTAAAGAAATGCAGTCTTTTTTAAGAGTTTTTTTTTTAATTTAAAAAATTTATTTAATACATGAGCATTCTGCTGCATATACATTCATGGGCTGGAAGAGGGCATCAGATCCCATTACAGATGGTTGTGAGCCACCATGTGGTTGCTGGGAATTGAACTCAGGACCTCTGGAAGAGCAGCTGTAGCTTTTAACCACTGATCTATCTCACCAGCCCCAGAGTCTTTCTATATAGCCCAGGCTGGCCTCAAACTCCTATCTTAGGTTCTCAGCTGTTGAGATTACAGACACCAGCCACCTTGCTTGGCCCCACTCCTTTTCCTTGCCGTGTGACCATATGAGTTTAGCTGTTCTACAAATGCTAAGTCATCAGCTGTCCCATTGTAAATAACTGAACTGGAAGTGTGGGATGTAGCTCATTGGTAGAGTGCCTGCCTAGAATAAACTATACTCTGGCTCAACACCTTGCACTGCAAAAATATGTAAATTAATAAACTAGTCAATTAATTAGCTGAGATATAATTAGGCTGGGGTACAGTCTATGCTTAGCACATATGAAGCCCTGACTTGCCCCAGCATGAATAAATGAATAACCAGATGCTATACTGGAAGGAATTATAAGCTACAGGACAAAAACAACCCCAGCAAAGGTGGGACTGTTGTACTGAAGTGTGTTCTCATTTGTCTACCTACCTGTCACTCCCACGGGAGACTGACATTATCCTGGGTGCTAGCGATGCACCCAGAACAAGATGTCTTATAGACAGCACAATACATGAGTAAATACTGTGAGAGCAAAGTAGCTGGACCAGGGTAGGGAGAGGCTATCCAGTCTAGATTGAAGATCAATAAGAGCGTTTCTGATAAGGAGACAAATGGGGCTTTCAACAGATTGCTATG